TGCTTTCCCAGAGATTTAGATCGATCTAAAGATTAAGTTTTAGATTGACCTAACTGCCTGGGGGTTCAGGCTAAATTGCAGTCAGCCGAGCAACATGATAGTTAATTACCCCCTTATAGCTTTTAGTAGGCGGGACAGACGCTTAAGCCGTCCAAGCTGACAGTAATCTAGTGAGACTCCCCACAGGGATAGATCGATCTAAAAATCTATGGAAATGGGGTGCTAGCGTACCCTGTGGTCAAAGAGTAGGAAAATATGGCATTAATCAACATCTAAACAGAGAGATTCAAGAACAGCAAAAGATTTTCTGCCCAGAGCACATGGATAAGGTGATGAGATTCTTCTGCTCGAAATGCCACATCCCCATTTACAGTCATTACAATGACCTACACCAGGATGGCCACAAACTTTTCTTTCTTGATACGGTTGACAACATTGTAAAGGCATAATTTCAGACCAAATTATTTGGGGTGGAGAATATTTCCAAAACACATGAAAATAAAATGTATATAAAAAGCAAGTTCAAATTTAGGGCATATTTATTGGATCTGTAAGGTTATTCATACCTACCAGCAAAGGATCAATACAATCTGTATGTCTCTTATGCTCATTTGCTTTTGATCTCTGAAAATAAAGATAGAGATTTTTCAAAACTTAAAATTAAGAAAAATAAAAAGTCAAGCTTGTCACTTTGGTATGAATTGCAAAACACTCACAAATAATTTATATTTAATAATTAACCATGTATTAGACAATATTTGGGCAAGTAATTTGAGAATTTCAAAATAAATAAATCTGAATAATATTGATACAGATGTTAATTAAAATTACAATGCTACAATATTTTTTCAAACCTTTGCTTGAAGTCTGGTCCTGATCCTGTCCCTCTCTGCCCCTGTTTTCCTTCTTTTATGTTTGTGTTTGCTGGTTTCTTCATGGCGATTCATAGCCTATAGTATTAAATAATTTCCTTAATTGCCAAAGCCAAATCAAATTTTTAATAGCACACTGTTTGGTTCATAAAATAGGATAACTTCATTTTTTAAAATCAAATAATTAATTCTGGCCTATGTTATGAATGGTATAAATAATGATAGTATTTTTTATTATGGAACAGGCTGAAGGCATGAACAAGTACCAGTATTTGGCATGTGTAACAAAATCATACTGATGCCACCCTATTGTTTATAGTATCCCATTTGGTTAAATTTTTATACTAGTATCTATTTATACAATATAATCACAACTCAAAATTTACATTTTTTATTCTTATTACATCAGACATACTTCTACATATTTTGGCAGATGTACCTAATTTAACTTGACACATACCCCAGTACATTGAGAATGTATGATTAATTTGTGCCTGTTTAACATAGAAGTACAAGGAATATTTCTGGCTACAGAAAAATGGAACAAATGCATAAAAGAGAAGTCAGGGAAATCAATATGAACACATAAATTGCACAGAATACTACTTTAAAATGAAAAAAAAAATCGATTGCAAACACTTGAACAGTCTTTTTAGTTTTAAACATGCATAACTTACTTTTACCCCGTTTGCATCGCCAGACAAAAGTATTTAATATCCTGGAATCTGTGACTGGGAATATCCTTGAAGTACTCACTACTAATCCCCTCACCACTGTACCAGGGTCACTGACACTGAAAATCTGGAAGGGTGGAGGGTCGAGTGATCAAACCTTAACAAAACGCATAAAAAACAACCTGGATCCGCATGAATTAAATGTAGAAAAGCCAGAATTTCTTCAATATCAGAGTTTAAAAATCTTAGAAATTGACCAAAAAGAGCATTTTTAAAATTTCGGCGTAAGAAATGTCAATTCATAAGTTCCCGCATCGTAAGAGTTGGTCAGCACTTTTGCTATTAGTTTATTTAACATTTGCTATTTGATACATTTAAATTACTATCTTTGTATAGCTAAAATAATTTTGAGAAATTATGTTAATTCAAATTGAAAATTAATATGATATTTTACAGTGTTAGATTTAAATCTAATATTTTCTTTTCCTCGAAAACTAAATTGTATGTGATATTTGAGGTTTCACGCGTGCGCACTAAGGAAGTTTATATAGCAACCACTGGAAAGAAAATCTAGGAATACTTTTCTCGACAATCAATTAGGGTTTAAAAGGTATGTTTCCATACAGTTATACTATTGATTGCACACATTTACATATTTAAAAAAATCAGAAAGCTGGTATTGTTAATTTTTTGTTTTAAATATGTCAAATGAGCTGTTTACCTAGCTGAAAAACACCATCCTAATGAATGATTAGAAAGGCTGGAGCCGATAATATAACACTATCACAGTATGTTTTCGCGGAAAGGACCAAAATTGGTGTCATTATAGCGGAGAGAAAGAGTTTATCAAATTAACTTGGACTTTAAATCCACTACGGTGTCTGCGTGTACAGCAGCATTGTTCAGATGGTTCCAGTTAAAACTATTCTGTTTATAGTTCTAATTATTCTGGAAATTTTAATTTCATAGTGCAGTTTTAGCCTTTACCTGGTAACTTCAAATAGCATGATATTGCTTCTAACATAAAAGGCTGGGGCATTTTCAGTTATTGAGCCAGAGTGTCTAGAATCATAATCACCTGCAATAAATGTCTTTGTATCCTTCATAGTTTTCCCAGTAAAGACAGCTGATCTTTTATTCTGAATTGTTAGAAGAAGTACAAGAAATAAAGAGCCTCAGAGGATTTTTTTCTTTTTCACAATATCAGCAAGTCAAGCATTAAAAATTGAATTCGAGAGATAAACATGTTTACATATATCCCTAATATATTTGTTTGCCCAAAAAGCTGTGACTGATCTAAAAATCCAAGTTAGTAAATTTCTTTCTCAAGCCCAGCAGACAAGACAGTCACACAGAACATGTTCCACAGTTTGTACACTCCCACATGTGCTTTTACAGTTTTCATAAGTGACCCTTTTTCCACAATAAGGTCATAAGCTGGCATTACATGTATTTATAAGTTGATACCATGCTCAGTGATATACTAGCCTGTATTGATGATTTACCTTTTGCAAATGAAACTGCATGAACGATAAAACTTATTTCAGGGTGAAAACTAACAATGGCAGAAACTGTCATATCAGCCAAAATGCCTCCACACATAGATGTGACAAGAGCTCCTCTAGCTTATGGAGATCGAGCACTGCCAAGATTGGTAAGTCTATATACTTTATAGCAAATACTATTTAATCAAGCAGTGTTTTAACACACATGCACACACGCATGCACACACACACATGGCATGAAATGCATGCACATAAAGATTGTTTCTTACTTTAGTTTAAGAAGTTGATCCTCCCTTCCTCTTTCTCAAGCACAAACATATAGGCTGGTGGTGATTTCATCCTTTTGAAAACAAAATTCACTCTATTCAACTAAATGTCATAGAAGTTTAATTTTCATTGTTATTATTATTAATTTTTCAGAACCGAGAGCTGATAGACCTAAATTTACTCACAAGGCAAAGAGCTGTCAGATCATTGTGTGACTATTTACATGACCCAGAACACATAGCAGAGGCTTTAAGACAAGGTATGCTCTTGATGTAAATAAACTAGTACTCTTGTTCTAAGTACACACAATGTCGTAAACTAAAAGAAGTAAGCAATGTGTCTTCAAACTGGTCCAAAATCATTGTCATTTTCTCAAAGATATATTTTTATTTTACCTCAGGAATTCCAGAAAGTCTGAAGGGCCTGCTAGATGATAAAGATGTCACAGTGAGACAGAAGGCTACAGAGTGTTTATACATTATAGCAGGTATTTATGTGTGAAAATACATCTTCGTGTTTGTTAAATGAAAATTAAAATACAATCTGTGCATATGTGTGTGTTTGCAGAGGGGTGGGAGTGCATTATGGTATTGTTTTAAAGCTCAAGCAAACTGCCTTGCATTTCATTTGTATTCAATATTTCTTGAAATATATCTCTGAAAAGAATACCTTTATCTATACTGAGAGTAATAATAATCACACCTATATCATCATCATCATTAGGTTATGCAGTTGGGAGAGAAGCATTTTTGGACCAAAACATCATCATTCCATTATCAAAACTTTTTGCTGACAAAGAAGATATTGTTAGAAAAAATGCACACAAAGCAATGGAAATGGTGTCAGAAACAATGACAGGTAAGATTGTTATTGATTGTAAGTATTACATGTTATGCTTTTTCTAAAATATAACTATCATTCACATTTTCTGTAGCTGTCCCTTTAAAAACATGACTGAAAGTTAAATATGGAAAAGTTACATTTTGGCACTCAGAGCAGTCACTACATTTTGTGTTGCAAAAATGAATATTATTGTTATGTCAACATATTTTAGGTGCTGAAGGTATTGTGGAAGCAAATTTAGTTCCAGTGCTTGTAGAAAAGCTAAAAACGGAACATGATGAAATCAAGGTAAGATGTTTTATTTCATAACTTTAAATGTGAAAAAATTCTCTCCCTTAAAAAACAGAACCTTTTTTTTTTGTACCATTTTAAGTCTTTTACACATAAAGTAATTGTGTTCCAAAGAACACTGATTTGCTCATGACTCATGAGGCATGATATTTTTAAGTGAAGACAATTCTGTAAGCAAACTTCTTTATATGCTATAGTTATGGATATGCTCAAACCTTTATCTTACCAGGAACTTATCCTAGACACATTGCACTTCTGTATGCGTGTGGACACTGCACATGCTTTGAGGGCAGAGGCAATGCAGGTGTTTACAAACCATCTGCAACATGGGACACCTGTTATTAGGGCTAAGGCAGCTAGGGATATCATGGATCTAAGGCAAGATTTAATATATTATTTAAAAAAGAAAAAAATATCTTTGTTTCTTTTGACATGATATCTTGTTTCTTGTCAAACCCCATTTTAAAACCATTCATTTTTAACTGTAAGATAAAACACAATTTCCAGACAGAGAGTGTGAGTCACAGAAACCAAAATAATGCAAATGAAATCATTTTTTTATATCACAAGAGGACAAAAAATATATGTGTTGTATCTATTGATTCTTTCAGTGTTCCCCTTGATGGCAAAAACAAGGCAGTCGAGGTTGGATCTGTGGCTTCACTGGTTGAGCTTCTGAAAGATTCTGATGCTGATGTGAGAGCCAGTGCTGCAGGTGCAATAATGACGTAAGTATTGTACAACTGTTATTGTTACAGCTTCAGCTTGTTACATACACACATACAAGTTTTCTTTCAAGAAAGAAATGAGAGAGAGAGAGTGAGTGAGAGAGAGAGAAACAATACTAGGAAAAACAATGTCATAACCTTGAAATGATATAAATGTTAAAGAACATGTTTCTGTCTCTCTTGCATTAGAAAGTGCACAACTTATTCAAAGAGAAAATTAATTCCCATTAATTGATCGTACAATTTATGATATGGAAAATGTTCTCTCTTGACAGTATAACCATCACTACCAAGGGGAAATACACAGCATTGAACTGCAATGCCATTGAGCCATTGGTCAAACTGGTTGATGATGAAAATAGTGAAGTTAGAGCAAATGCCCTCAAGGTAAGTCATATCTTAGTCTGCCACAATAACACAACAGTTTTCCAAAAATACTGAGAATATTTCTGTCAAGTTTTTAAAAACAATATTTTTTATGTGACAACTTTATTTCTTTTGCAGGATCATAAATTTGTAAATAACGCAAAATGTTGCACATAATTCAGTTGATAACTTAAGAGAATTCACACGAGACAAAATACCAATCATGTTTAACAATTTTGAATTGTTAGAAAAATATCTTGTAATCTTCCAGGCAATCACATGCTTAGCTGAAGCTCCAGAAGGCAGACAGGAGCTTTTGAATCACATTGATCAGGTAAAAGTTTCATGATGACTAAAATGACCATGAAAATAAAAAAATTGCACGCAGAACTTGTAGTCAGCCAGAATATTGATGATTTTCATGGTTAATTCAACTATGTAGAAATAGTTTTAAAGAATCATGTTGACATGTTCAAAAACAAATTATAATATAATTAGGCAATTAAGTCATTTCTTAAAAAGTTACTTGCCACAATTTATGTAAAGTCTTCCAATCCTGAAACTTTCCCATGGATGTAAACTTGAAATGTACCTTTTTTCTGTATTTATGGTGTATAAATGAGATTGATTGGCATTTCAGATCCGGAAGAGGACAAATGATGCTATTCCTGCAGTTGTGAAACATGCAAACATTGCTGTAAAAGTGATCACGTGGAAACCCTAAAGAACTACCTATTCTTATATTGACAGCCTTTTTATAGCAAGATGAGACTTAAAGCTAATATTTTACAGTAATTTTGACAGGGAAAGGAACAATTAGGACATTTATTGGCATGAAGAAGTTCTCAGACATTTATCATGAGACTATTAGCACTTCTGTAAAATTTATGAAATAGATCATGTGAACGATTTTCTCAGCCTGTATATTTGTAAATAAATATTCTATGTATTTATTATTGGTCTTATCATTCTCTCCCAGTAGACAATAGTTTACCCTTACAGGTATTTTAAACAGAGTCAAATAAGCAAACAACATGAAAAGTTTATAATAATAATAGTTTTATTGATGTGGACATTACAGGTACCACTTACATCAGTCACTCAATGCAACTGCTGTTCTTTATCAGGACCATCAAATAATATTCAAAATGTTCCAAAGCAATGTTCTGTCACCGTCAATCTTGTCATGTGGATGGTGACTTCCTGCTACCCTGCCACTGGTGATCTGGCTGCAGAGTAGTAATTTGGTGATATCAAAATTAAGGCCATGTCCTATAAATTAAATTCCCTGCTATCAACTTAGCTGCTATTAACTAATCTTAGAATCAGTATGCATATTATGCTGTATTGCTGTCCTTCTTGAAAGCAATTTTGAATTTTTTTTTTTTTTTTACCGTCATTGGCAGACATACTTAAGCTTCAGATGCAGAATTTTCTTCAGGTGATTGACTTTGGGATTGGACTTCTCTGATGTGTTCTTTACTTTTAGTATTTCTGTTTCACATCCCTTGAAGAAAATAAAAACCATATCAAATTGTAGCCAACAAACTCAAAACTAGGGTTGAAGATATGCAAAGACTACAAAAATTTCACAAATACCATATGTATAAACTGACACAGGTCTAGATAGATGACCAATATCTTGGTTACCACAAGGACATTAAAAAGAGAGAAAGAGAGAGAGAGTGTGTATTATTAACTGCTGATGCTCACTGATATATAATGTTTCACAGAAGGTAGACATGTAAAAAGCTACACTGCATTCAGCAGACAGTTCATAACTAAAACCGTACTCACTCTAGCCTTATCTCCTCTGACCTTCTCTCACTGTACAGTAAAGCATCTCTTTTCTTCCTTTCTTCTTCCTGGGCTTCTTTAGCTGCTTGAATTTCAACCTCTTTTTGTACATTTTGCCATTTTTGTACCATTGAGGACACATTTTTCTTCTTCATAGACAACCCTGTTGGGAGCAGACCCTGAAAATGAAAATTAAGTTTTCATGGTGATTTCGGCATTAGGAAAACACAACTTAAAAAATCAAAGGTTTAAAGTACCTTTGACTTATATTCATGTCTGGGGTGTAAAGCAACGGTTTTAAGAGAAATAACAATTGAAAGCGTATGTGAAATCAATGGAGACTGCAAAAAAAAAATTTTTTTTTTGAAGTACCATGCACTAACATACAATAAAAATTTCTTCTGAGGCAAACTACCCAAGATTTTCCCACTATCTTTGCATGACTTTCGGTTTATATACTCACTTTGTCCTTTTTCTTTTTCTTCTTTTCCCCTTTCCCATGCTTATGTGTTGCAGAACTACTTGTTGCTGTATTGCTATGCTGAATTTCTTGTGGAGTTTCTGCCGATGTTAGAACTGTCTGTGGAGCAGATGCCTGCACTGATTTCCCCACAGAGGGTTGAGACAAAGCATTAAACTGTCCACTAGTATACTGTGTATTCCATGCTTCTCCAGACATAGTGGTAGCTTGAAATATCTGTGATTGATTAGCTATAACTCCAGGAGGGTTTGTAGGCTGGGGAGGCCTTGCTATGATGACACTTCCATTGCTGTCTGTCCCAGTGGAGCCAGTCACAAGACCCGAATCTGCCATGACACCAGCTTTATTATCTTGTGTAGTCATTGTTTGATAAAAATTGTCATAATCTGAAGAAGTTGGATGGTCTGGCTCATAAAGCTGGTCTACGTCCTGGCTATCTGTATCAACATCCATATCTACTGTACCTGAAGATTCAGGTGGAGGGGGAGGGGGTGGCGGTAGAAGTACACTAGGTGGAGGGGGTGGAGCACCTGAACTGTACAACTGTGGATAACTTGAGTTTGAGAGAGGGGGAGGTGGAGGGGTATATGAACCTTCTGGGGGAGGAGGAGGAGGGGGATTATTGCTGCCTGAAGGGGGAGGAGGGGGTGGACTTGAGCTGGCAGGTGGAGGGGGTGGGGGTGGAGGGCTTGAACTCAGAGGAGGTGGGGGTGGGGGACTGGAGCTGGGAGGAGGAGGGGGTGGTTGGGCATCTGATTGATCAGGGGGTGGTGGAGGTGGTGCAGAAGTGTAAAAAGATGGGGGGCTAGGATCTTCTGTGCCAGAGGAAAGGGGTGGTAGTGCTTCTGGATTGGTGGATGAATCCATCTTATCTTCATCCCCATCAACTTGGGAAACATCATATGTTGCCCGAAGCCCTGTAATTAATTGAAAAATATGCTTTGATAAATCCTTCATATAAAATTAGATATCTCATTTCAAATCACAATTCAAACAAAAATTTCTTCCTAAACTATTTATTGGTCATACATGTTCATATATTTACCTTGCTTAATATCATTTTCAGTGTACTTACTTGCCAAGGCACTCCCAACACCAGCTGGATAAGGTGCAGAATCAATTTGTTCAGCCTGGACAAAATACGTGAAAATTTATAGAAACTGATTGATTTGTAAAACAATCTGTAATCTCAACCCAATTTTTTCTCATGAAATGCTATAACATCCAATTTCTATTACACAATCAGCTTATAAATTCTGAAGGCATTCACATATTTCTGCAATTTTTTTTGAAAAAACTCCCCCTGCCATAGCTTATTTCTCTTAATTTTTACATAAAATAAATGAAATATAAAAAACTTTTCAAAAAAGAGCCTATTTCTCTTAATTTGTAAATGGAAAAATGAAATATAAAAAACAATTTATAAATTGAAGACTTACAGAAGAAGATGAAACTTCAAAAACTTGAGATTTCTCAGGATGCAAACTCTCCTCTTCTTCTGTATCATTATCGTCTACTTCTGTGGATGAAGGTAGCTCACTAGGTGTCTCTACTGGCTTCTGATCTTTACTGACATCTGGGTATTCCCACTGAGATTCCCCGGTAGTGCCATTCATGTAGAAGTAGCGCCTGTATGTTCTACATTATGTACATGAAAGAGAAAAGAGTTTCCAGGATAATTTAAAGCTCTCAATTTGAGCAGCTAGTTTTATATCTTAATATGCATACCACCAGATTTCTTCCAGTTTCACTGTAGAAGATTAAGACAGATCAGAGTGTATATACACAAAAAGAAGAAACCAGTCTGCTCAATGAAAATATTCTGAAAAGAAAATGACACATTTCTGAGAACTGTCATCTGGATCACCTCTCTCAGATTCAGTTCTGCTGCTTTCATTTGTTTGGGTGATTAAACAGCTGCAATTTGTCTGAAAAATAAAATAAAGACACAAGCATTTAAATACAAAAACATATTCAGGTGCCTGTAAGTAGGCACCTTGATAATTAATATTGAAATTTAAAAAGACAGTCTTGAGGAAAGCAGGCATCAGCTCTGTCTGTTGATATTAGAGCCATAAGTATAGTACTACTATCTGGTAAGCAATACATTTAACATATTAACACAATCTACCTCATCACATTGATATTAAACATTACTGGCAATTTTATTTTATTTACTCTCTTTACAAAATGTAAATATAAAATGGTTGTTGGTATTCACTAAGCAAAGCACTGATTAAAACAATACATAAAATTAGACTCCATATGCTCTGCTTTTCTCAAGCCTGCACTTTGATACTACTCACCACCTTGTGCTTCATCTGTGTTCTTCTATCTTCAATTCTTCCAAGTTCTTCAAACATGGAGAAACTAGGCATGGGAGCATAGGGAAAGGACATTGTGCAAACTGCACGTGTTCATATACATAAACATATATAGAAGCAGTGTGCATGACACAGAAACAAGCAGTAGACAATACTGTCAATTTTAACTGGAATGTCAACTTGGGTCAGCGTCTTTACTCATAATCTGACTGGTATCACAGAACCATGCTACCCTACACTGCAATGTTCCCTTTCCAATGACTATGTTGTGGAATACAGCATCAATACAGAGGTCTGGACACAGAGGGAGAACTGAGATAAAATGGCCATACCTGTCCCAGTGACAAGTCCAGCCTTGTGGCGCTGCACTCTCCTCAAACTGCTTGAGTTGCACGTCGGCCTCTTTGAGTTTCTCTAGCAAGTGCAGAGTGTCCAAGGCACCATCGCGCCAATCTTGGAACCTTGTCTGGGTAAAAATATCAAAACATATACAAATGGATATATATTATCTAAATTTAGTCTAGAAACTCACCTATGCAATATTTCATAGGCCCATTTGGGGTGAAGAGAGACAAGGTATGCAGTTACTTGGTTCATATATTATTCTAAGTGTACTATGTGCGAAAGCAAGTTATCAATGAAAACAACATACTTGTGTCTTGAGAGTTCAACCCCNTGGAAAAATGAAATATAAAAAACAATTTATAAATTGAAGACTTACAGAAGAAGATGAAACTTCAAAAACTTGAGATTTCTCAGGATGCAAACTCTCCTCTTCTTCTGTATCATTATCGTCTACTTCTGTGGATGAAGGTAGCTCACTAGGTGTCTCTACTGGCTTCTGATCTTTACTGACATCTGGGTATTCCCACTGAGATTCCCCGGTAGTGCCATTCATGTAGAAGTAGCGCCTGTATGTTCTACATTATGTACATGAAAGAGAAAAGAGTTTCCAGGATAATTTAAAGCTCTCAATTTGAGCAGCTAGTTTTATATCTTAATATGCATACCACCAGATTTCTTCCAGTTTCACTGTAGAAGATTAAGACAGATCAGAGTGTATATACACAAAAAGAAGAAACCAGTCTGCTCAATGAAAATATTCTGAAAAGAAAATGACACATTTCTGAGAACTGTCATCTGGATCACCTCTCTCAGATTCAGTTCTGCTGCTTTCATTTGTTTGGGTGATTAAACAGCTGCAATTTGTCTGAAAAATAAAATAAAGACACAAGCATTTAAATACAAAAACATATTCAGGTGCCTGTAAGTAGGCACCTTGATAATTAATATTGAAATTTAAAAAGACAGTCTTGAGGAAAGCAGGCATCAGCTCTGTCTGTTGATATTAGAGCCATAAGTATAGTACTACTATCTGGTAAGCAATACATTTAACATATTAACACAATCTACCTCATCACATTGATATTAAACATTACTGGCAATTTTATTTTATTTACTCTCTTTACAAAATGTAAATATAAAATGGTTGTTGGTATTCACTAAGCAAAGCACTGATTAAAACAATACATAAAATTAGACTCCATATGCTCTGCTTTTCTCAAGCCTGCACTTTGATACTACTCACCACCTTGTGCTTCATCTGTGTTCTTCTATCTTCAATTCTTCCAAGTTCTTCAAACATGGAGAAACTAGGCATGGGAGCATAGGGAAAGGACATTGTGCAAACTGCACGTGTTCATATACATAAACATATATAGAAGCAGTGTGCATGACACAGAAACAAGCAGTAGACAATACTGTCAATTTTAACTGGAATGTCAACTTGGGTCAGCGTCTTTACTCATAATCTGACTGGTATCACAGAACCATGCTACCCTACACTGCAATGTTCCCTTTCCAATGACTATGTTGTGGAATACAGCATCAATACAGAGGTCTGGACACAGAGGGAGAACTGAGATAAAATGGCCATACCTGTCCCAGTGACAAGTCCAGCCTTGTGGCGCTGCACTCTCCTCAAACTGCTTGAGTTGCACGTCGGCCTCTTTGAGTTTCTCTAGCAAGTGCAGAGTGTCCAAGGCACCATCGCGCCAATCTTGGAACCTTGTCTGGGTAAAAATATCAAAACATATACAAATGGATATATATTATCTAAATTTAGTCTAGAAACTCACCTATGCAATATTTCATAGGCCCATTTGGGGTGAAGAGAGACAAGGTATGCAGTTACTTGGTTCATATATTATTCTAAGTGTACTATGTGCGAAAGCAAGTTATCAATGAAAACAACATACTTGTGTCTTGAGAGTTCAACCCCCTAAATAATGGTCATTAACTAACAGCTTATAAAAATGGGATAACTGGATTATGTAACACAACAGGAAAAATTTCTGTTTATGAAAAGTAAGCACTTGGGTATAGGCTAACCTCAATCTGTACAAGCAATATCTGCAGTTTTGACAGTCCTTTGGTAGAGATGTCCAAGAAGTCCAGTTTGCTGGTGATCAGGTTGGTCAGTTCCACTATCTCAGCCTAAAGATAAATTTATAAATACCCAGTTGTAATGTCAAAAAACTCATTTCATTTTTATGATAGTGATAAGTAAATTAAAGCACAGTAAATAACGTTCACTGGTAGTATAATAGAATTGCACTTAAAAGAAATACAAAATGGTTAATATCTAAACCTACTGAACAAAGGATTAAAATCACAGCAGTCTTCACATGCATTTTTCACTATGCACTGCATTACCTTTGCTCTAACTTCTTCTTTTGAAGGTTTGAGCTTTTTAACTTTCTTGAAATCTGTTCTATCTTCCACTTCATCATCAGCTTCTCTCTTTCTGCTCTGTGTAGAACTATTGGAGAGGTCACCCTCATCTAACAATTTTAGTTCAGCCTTGAAAGAAAATCAGTCAGTTGAAATATTTGAATTACACTAGTATCATCATTCCAAAAAACTTTTTATCATGAAGTATTTCCCAGTAAATATTTTCAAATGAAAAAAAAAGTGCAAATATCTGCATGTACACACCTTACAAAGTTACACAAACTAAATTAGCTTGTACTGTTCCTTGAATGAATCACATTTTAATGTGGCCCTTTCATCAAAATGAAATGCTTTAGATATCAACTGCTGGTAAGTGAGATACTTGCCTTTTTCTTCTCCAAAGCTTTTTCAAGTTCTTCTTCAATGCTATCCTCATCGCTATTTTCAATATCTACCGACTTTTGAGAAGAGCTGGGTTCAGTGACACCAGTTGACTGAAATCCATGAAGAAACAATGGCAAATCATGCTCTTCAGTAGAGTCCACAGCACTGCTGTCTTCATACTTCTTATTATAAAACTCAAAATGTGTAAAAACTGGTGCTTCTACAGACTTATGAGAATCTTCTGGGTCTGTTTCCATAGGGTCTTCAACTTGACTGCTACTATCATCACGTTGTCCCTCTTTTGCACTTTGATCCTGAATTCCATCATCTCTTAACCCATCAGTTAATGCACTTGAGACTTCATTTTCATCCCCATTACTACCACTACTTGACACATCTTTTTTATAATAACTTGGTAACTGAGGCCCTTCAAATACGACCCCTATTTGATCAGGCAACTGTGGCCCTTCATACACAACCCCCATTTGATCTGGTAACTGAGGTCCTTCATATACAGTTTCAGTTTGATCAGGTGATTGTGGTCCCTGGAACTTAACCTCTCCAGTGTCTGGTAACTGAGGGCCTTCAACAATATCTACCTCTGACGGCATTTCTGGCCCTACTGCTCCTGCAAGTTCACCTATTTCCTCTTTGAACTTCAGATATTGGTCATCAGAAGATTGTGGGCTTTCGCCTGGAGGTGGGTATTCACCCAGAGATTCTATTTTTTCTTCTTCATCTTCTTCATTCTCCCCCATTTCAACTCCATCCAAGCCACTAAAAAGTGTGCATAGTCAGTAAAAGATACACATGAAATTAAATCACAGTACAATTTATTTCAAATAACATGTTTCCATGAAAGCTGATAGGACATAGACACTGTAGGCTAAAACTGACAAATTACTACTAAATCATGAATGTACATAGGTTATAAGATAAGATAATAATATGTTGTCATACTAATGCATATACAATTGCAAGTATAAGATGAAAATTAATGTACACTCTTTGTCAAGTTTCATTTTTACAATCAAATGAACTTTTCTACTACATAAATCATCTTAGTTAAGCACTTACTTCCCATGTGCTGGTTTTCCACTTCTCTTCATGTCTGTTGCCTGTGCACTGTTATGCCCTGGAAAATGCTGCTCACTGGCTACCATGCCATGCTTACTGCCCACACTTTGATTACTGCCTCCTTTCTCAGTCTGATTGTTATCCCCTCCCATGCCCGGTACAATCTCTTGCTTTATCTCCAATGCACTGTCCAGTCCCATGGCTTGTCTAAAAATCAAGGCTTCTTGGTGCTGTTTCAGTAGTATTAGATATTGTTCATATTCAGCTGGCATCTCCCACTGTACTTCATTAGTAACAGTATGCCAGTAGTAATAATGCTGTGTGTTGTCATCATAGCAATGTTGCCATAGTGTTGTGGGTTCCTCTGCAAACAACATATAACATTATAGATAACATACAGGTGCCCATTTGTGCAGTAAAATATGCTGGTGTTCCTCCAAATTATGCAAACTGAAATCATCTTATTTGAATCTTTTGCTGTATCAGTGTGTTTCAAGGTTCGCCTTTTCATGCGAAATTAATAGTTCTTCCCTTTTCCTCCATCTGTGAAATCCATTTTCATTTAAAAGGCAAAAAAGGCAATTTACATTTTANTAATTAAATCACAGTACAATTTATTTCAAATAACGTTTCCATGAAAACTGATAGGACATAGACACTGTAGGCTAAAACTGACAAATCACTACTAAATCATGAATGTACATAGGTTATAAGATAAGATAATAATATGTTGTCATACTAATGCATATACAATTGCAAGTATAAGATGAAAATTAATGTACACTCTTTGTCAAGTTTCATTTTTACAATCACATGAACTTTTCTACTACATAAATCATCTTAGTTAAGCACTTACTTCCCATGTGCTGGTTTTCCACTTCTCTTCATGTCTGTTGCCTGTGCACTGTTATGTCCTGGAAAATGCTGCTCATTGGCTACCATGCCATGCTTACTGCCCACACTTTGATTACTGCCTCCTTTCTCAGTCTGATTGTTATCCCCTCCCATGCCCGGTACAATCTCTTGCTTTATCTCCAATGCACTGTCCAGTCCCATGGCTTGTCTAAAAATCAAGGCTTCTTGGTGCTGTTTCAGTAGTATCAGATATTGTTCATATTCAGCTGGCATCTCCCATTGCACTTCATTAGTAACAGTATGCCAGTAGTAATAATGCTGTGTGTTGTCATCATAGCAATGTTGCCATAGTGTTGTGGGTTCCTCTGCAAACAACAGATAACATTATAGATAACATACAGGTGCCCATTTGTGCAGTAAAATGTGCTGGTGTTCCTCCAAATTATACAAACTGAAATCATCTTATTTGAATCTTTTGCTGTATCAGTGTGTTTCAAGGTTCGCCTTTTCATGCGAAATTAATAGTTCTTCCCTTTTCCTCCATCTGTGAAATCCATATTCATTTAAAAGGCAAAAAAGGCAATTTACATTTTAATAATATCATCTGTCCACTGATTTTTACAGCAAACAAGAGCTAGAAAAGCACCAAGAGAGCGTAGACCTCTCACAAGAAAACATCATAGATAAAGAATTAAGTTATCTGTGAGATAATACACTGTATGATAAATATTGTACCGTAAAATAAATAATAATGACAATTTCTCCAAAGCATCAACTAATTTATCCTTTTTTTGCAAGATTTTATACAAAATTCAAAGACATCTTGACTAACTTCCCAGCCATGAAGTCATCATTTATTATCATCATACTACCTGACACAAACGGAACATTTTCCTCTTTTTTCACTTCTACATGTGGCTGTTGCTGAACACTTTCATCAAGTTCACCACCCTTGTGAAATGTCATTAGTTTCGGCCCCTGGGGGTGTTTTGGAACTTCCTCTTCTTCATCAGGAGGTGGTGGAGGTGGCGGTTGAGATATTGCATCAATTTCCTATATGGTGGAAAGAAATTAGAATGGCATAGAGAATATATAAATGTAACTTGGTACCTAAAGTAAAGTTGATGATTTGTGTGGCTTAAAAATGAATACTATCAAAAATTGAATAATACAAGCAAGACAAGCAATTCAAGTGATGTACAGCATCAATGCAAAGATGAAAACAGCAGTAGTGAAACATTAAGTATACTTACCGCAAAAAAATTAGCAACCTCGCTGTCTATAACTTTGACCTGTCCATTGGAGGCTGAAACAGTAAATTATAATAAATAATCATGTATAAAGTATGTTACAAATATTTCATATACCTACTTTTGTGACATGCAGATTCCATATGTCTTTGAGCAAAGCTTTACAGCGACTTCTGTAGACTGCTTCAACTAACTTAATTGCACACTTAATGCAATAACAGCAACTCAAAATTCAGGATTAATAACAATGGTGCTAAAACCCATGTAGTCAAATGATCTGGGGCTATAGGGAAGATAAGTTTTATGCTTACCATGTTTTTAACCCCATTTAAAACATTTACTACTACTACTACTCCTGAAAGAATGGGCATTTTGTCACCAGAATAAGTTACCTTTTCCAGATGAAGCACCTTCTGAATCACTGCCATCACTGTTATCTTCTTCATCAGAATCCATGTACTGCCCAAGCAGGCCACTTAGTGGGTTAGCACCTGCAACAGAAACCAGCATAAAATACATCCAATGTCTTCCATAAAAAAACGTGTAACTCAGAGAGGCATGCATGTCTCTAGGCTCGTTCTGGCAGTATGTCATCTTTGATTAATTTACGGTTAACTATATGATAATGTACTGATATGTAACTAGTATGGAACAGAGTAAGGTCATACACTGAGGCAAGGAAGAGTACTCATGATACCTGGGACGTTATACATCTGACATAACTGATATACCCATACCATACCTTTGCTTTTTGGGCCAGACTTCATCCTTTCTCGATTGTCTTTTCTTCCCATGCACAATTAATTTGTTGGGATTCGATAAAAAGTATATATATCCTGAAAACAAAGATGGTAAGATGATTTATGTAATCAACGTGAAAGTACACGGGATCGACGATTAAAAATAATAAATACATAAACTGATTCTTACAATATCAGACCGTCAGTCTAACTCTAAGAGAAAATAAAATAAAATGACTTTCACAGTATTGCATATATACAACCTCTTCAATAAAAAGTTCACCAAGAAGTCTAATACATTAGCAGCTTGTAGTACAGTGTTCATTCGAAAAAAATAAACGTCTACCAATTTAAACAACGAACACCAAACAGGAACAAAACGAACCGCACACCTTCATGTCTCCATATTGTTCAATTGCATTTATTAGACATTAGCAAGACACGCCAAATTTGTGCTTGAAACAGGGCGAAACCTGTTCCCGACAATTAAAACAGTGCATAGATTAAAATTTTAAATATTGCAGTAAATAACTCCATGAGTTCATGATGTTTTATCATTTTTCCTATTGTATAAGATTTCAGGTCTCTCTCTCTCTTTTGGGGGCTTCTCTTTGATATTTATGCCAATCGCTCTAAAGCGACGTCTATCGGCAATTGTGCTTTGAGAAGAAGCTGTCATTACAAATGATGCTGGAATAGTGTGCAGAAGCCGATTTAACATGGATGAAGACTCACTCATTCGACTAGAGCAAGGATNAGTACCGCCAGCGCCTACGCTGGTGGTACAATAATATCATCTGTCCACTGATTTTGACAGCAAACAAGAGCTAGAAAAGCATCAAGAGAGCGCAGACCTCTCACAAGAAAACATCATAGATATAGAGTTAAGTTATCTGTGAGATAATACACTGTACGATAAATATTGTACCGTAAAATAAATAATAATAACAATTTCCCCAAAGCATCAACTAATTTATCCTTGTTTTGCAAGATTTTATACAAAATTCAAAGACATCTTGACTAACTTCCCAGCCATGAAATAATCATTTATTATCATCATACTACCTGACACAAATGGAACATTTTCCTCTTTTTTCACTTCTACATGTGGCTGTTGCTGAACACTTTCATCAAGTTCACCACCCTTGTGAAATGTCATTAGTTTCGGCCCCTGGGGGTGTTTTGGAACTTCCTCTTCTTCATCAGGAGGTGGTGGAGGTGGCGGTTGCGATATTGCATCAATTTCCTATATGGTTGAAAGAAATCAGAATGGCATAGAGAATATCTAAATGTAACTTGGTACCTTGATCAATGCACAGATGAAAACAGCAGTAGTAAAAATTAATGTATACTTACGGCAAAAAAATTAGCAACTTCGCTGTCTATAACTTTGACCTGTCCATTGGAGGCTGAAATAGTAAATTATATTAAACAATCGTTTACACAATATGTTACAAATATTTCATACTCCTACTTTTGTGACATGCAGATTCCTTGTCTTTGAGCTGATTAAATGCAAAGCTTTACTTCACCTAACTTTTTAAGTGCACATTTAATGCAATAACAGCAACTCAAGTTCAGGATTGATAACAGTGATTAAAAAAAACTCATGCAGTCAAATGATCTGGGGCCATAGGGGAGATAAGTTTTATGCTTACCATGTTTTAAACCCCATTTAAAACATTTACTACTACTACTACTACTCCTGAAAGAATGGGCATTTTGTCACAAGAATTAGTTACCTTTTCCAGATGAAGCACCTTCTGAATCACTGCCATCACTGTTATCTTCTTCATCAGAATCCATGTACTGCCCAAGCAGGCCACTTAGTGGGTTAGCACCTGCAACAGAAACCAGGATAAAATACATCCACTGTCTTTCATAAAAAAGGTGTAACTCAGAGAGAGGCATGTATGTCTCTATAGGCTCGTTCTGGCAGTATGTCATCTTTGAGTAATTTACGGTTAACTATATGTACTGATATGTAACTAGTATGGAACAGAGTAAGGTCATACACTGAGGCAAGGAAGAGAACTCATGATACCTGGGACGTTATACATCTGATGTATCTGATATAACTGATATACCCATACCATACCTTTGCTTTTTGGGCCAGACTTCATCCTTTCTCGATTGTCTTTTCTTCCCATGCACAATTAATTTTTTGGGATTCGATAAAAAGTATATATATCCTGAAAACAAAGATGGTAAGATGATTTATGTAATCAACGTGAAAGTACACGGGATCGACGAATAAAAAAATAAATACTTAAATTGATTCTTACAATATCAGATCGTCAGTCTAAGAGAAATTAAATAAAATGACTTTCACAGTATTGCATATATACAACCTCTTTAATAAAAAGTTCACCAAGAAGTCTAATACATTAGCAGCTTGTACTACAGTGTTCATTCGAAAAAAAAAAATAAACGTCCACCAATTTAAACAACGAACACCAAACAGGAACAAAACGAACCGCACACCTTCATGTCTCCATGATATTGTTCAATTGCATTTATTAGACATTAGCAAGACACGCCAAATTTGTGCTTGAAATAGGGCGAAGCCTGTTCCCGACAATTAAAACAGTGCATAGATTCAAATTTTAAATATCGCAGTAAATAACTCCATGAGTTCATGATGTTATATCATTTGTCCTATTGTATAAGATTTCAGGTCTCTCTCTCTCTCTTTTTCTTTGGGGGCTTCTCTTTGATATTTATGCCAATCGCTCTAAAGCGACGCCTATCGGCAATTGTGCTTTGAGAAGAAGCTGTCATTACAAATGATGCTGGAATAGTGTGCAGAAGCCGATTTAACATGGATGAAGACTCACTCATTCGACTAGAGCAAGGGTCAGAGGAAGAGGTTTCTAAAGTGCTTACCCAGTTCAACGCAAAGGTTAGAAATTTTGTTCCTATGCCATTATCTTCCATCCCTCCTAAACACAATATTGTCCTTTTCCGCTGGCATTGAAATGATTGAATCAATGAACATCATTGCATTAACGACCAAGTCTTGTCGAAGTAGCATTGGGGAATTTGTATGTTTGCCATTGTGTAGTGATCATAATCTACAGCATAGAAGTTAGATTATGAATTCTTTCCTACTTAGATCTAAGTAAGAAATCTTTCATTTTTTTTCAATGTTGAGAAATATTGCCTCACTTGCAACAATCAGACATGCGTTGCCTCTCAACCCCCCCCCCCCATCCCACAACGTTTTTCATAAGGAAATGTGTAAAAAGTTAAATGACATGTTGAAGGGTAGTATCATATTAATACAACCATTGTCATATGATTTATTTTTGAAGAATTCTAAATCTAGATGTGAAAAAGTGGTAAGGGGCTACATTCGAAGACTGTACAGGTATACTTTTATTTGAGGTGTTTTTTAAAGGTTTGAATTGGAAAAGAATGACAGCTTTGCAGGATGGACATAGAACACATGACTTTGGGACATTTTCAAAATTCGAATAGTGAATCTTTTGCCACACAATCTCCTTTAAAGTGTGACATATTTGTGTTCTGAAATTATAAATAGTATAGCAGCCTAAGGTTCAAATCTAAAGCTATGTGGGCACTTGAACACACATTTGGATATTTCATGTCTTTAAAGTAAGTTTATTTCACATGCTTATTACAGGTCAAAGTGACTGGATTAACCTTTTTTTCCACTGGCCCATTTCTGACTCTACTATTATTTGCAGAAAATAACATATTTAATATGGAATAGTAAGAAAAAAGAAAAAAAAATAATATAACAGATTCTTTACTAAAGTTGATAGAAATGTCCATGTATGGATTCCTCTAGTATATCAAGTGAAATGCTTTGTCACTAGTGTAGTAGTGGTTAATGATCATATGTAATCCTTCCCCATGTGAAACAAATTAACTTCTTTCTGCATTCCACAAGAACCAAGGTGTAACCAAATGAGAAACACAATCTTCAAGGAAGAATTGATTTTTCCAAGGCCCCAAATTGTTGAACAGTTTGCAGTTCCATTCTCAGCATTAGGCTTCTATGGTTATTTCTTAAGTAGCTGAGGGCCTTTGACTTGCCATTTAAGGTGTCTTTTTAGAATCCAAATCATGTTCATTACTGCTGGACATTTATAATCTCTTTAGGCTTTCACCCTGAGTTGCTCAGTCGGTGTTAGATGGTATAGGCTGGTTATCAGACAAACTATCCAGGGATGAATTTTTTTCCGACTATCTGTGGATTTCTGATTTTTTGGGAGCCAAAAATATCATTGGCAACAAAGAGATTTTTCCAACTATCATCAGATTGTGACTTTTTTGGTAGCCAAAAAGTCTTGTCCCTGACTTTCACCGATTTTTTTACATACAATTAAGTGAAAATGGTCTGCCTTCATATGACTTTTTCAATCATTTTATGGCTGAATTCATGACCATTTTAGACCAGAATTCCTCTGAAATCCCATCATTGGATGACTAACAGAAATATCCACTATCTCTTAAAACCTAGTCAGATGAGTATACAGTTTCAAATAGACCTACTCCAATTGAAAATTTCTAATTATCTGACATATAATATATGTATAATATTAACACAGAAAACAATTGACAGTCATCATTTGAAAAAATCTGCAGACATATGAGCCTGTGCCAGAATGCATTTACCAAATATTTCCCCTTGTTATTTTTTATAACACGTTTTTTTTCATAAAAATGTAACTTGCAAAAAATATTTCCACATAACCAATAACTTGCAAAGATATTTCTACATAACCAGTCGGAATAAAATGACTTGCATGCACCAATGAAGAGGAAATAATCAATTTTTCTTGTATGATTTATGTGGTGTGAAAGAAAGTCACTTTTTGTTGTGTCCAACAACAAAGTAACACAAGACATGGTAAAATATTAGTTAATTACAATAAGTTGGATAATGGATAGTAGTTTTAAGTTAATTTCAGTTTTAAAATGAAGCTTGTTGTTCTCATCCAATAATTTATGTCATTATTGCATTTTATTAAAATCTGTATGTACTGCTTACTGTTGGATGTTACACTTGACTGATTGAATGTTTGGTTCATAGAATCACTTTGAGGTAAATAACAGGCGTAACTTGCTTATGCCAGGATGTAAATCTGTCATAAGAGTTAAAAAAGAGTTAAATTTTGTTAAATATTTTCTCATCAATCTGTTATGAGCAATAGTGTGTCTATAGTAACATCCAGCATCAGCTGGGTGGCCAAGTTTGTCAATCATTTTCTCTGAAATACTACTTTGACATATTTGCATAGCTTGCAATACACAGAGAACATATTCTGAGTCTTTCAACCAGTAACATCCAGGAAGATTATCTATATGTTTGCTAAAATTTTCTGTTTTCAGTGACCAGCCCTGGCACAGTTGCTAGCACAGTTGGGTTGACACATACCTAGTATATGTTGTTAAAACTCACCCAGCTAGTTTTTCTCATAACATTTTTTCATCAAAATGTACAATAGATTTGTTATCTCCAAATACGGGGAACATATAATGTAAACAACAAGACAAATATGTTTTTATGACCTGATCAATGTTTTTTGCAGGACTGTATTATTCAGCTGTATCATATCAACTTGTATGTTATGTTTGATGAATAGATGATGACTATTTATTGAGAAGGCTACCAGTTTCTGTTGGCAACATTTTTCATTATCTCTTTATTATTACTTGTATAACTTTTGTTGGAATGTCACTGTGAATGTAGCCAGTGTTAATTATTTATTGTTTATTTGCTGTGAATAAATGAGGCAGAATTCCTTTAAAATTTAAATCAGAGACAAAGTTGAACTGACCTTAGCCTAGACATGAGGAAGCCCATATTCCTTACCTCAAAATCAAAACTTCAGAGTTGATGTTTATTGACTGTTATCTAACCCATTTGACCTTCACCAAATTGATTTAATAATTCCTGGGGCTCATGTCATGAAAAGCATTAATGATTGGATGTTGTACACATGCAGATTTAATTAGAGAAAGAAGATTGGGGAAAAGAGAGTAATTTCAAGCAACAGTTCAAAAAGGATTGTATTTTTTTTTTCGCTTAATCCTTTGAAATTGGTAAAAAAAAAAACCTTTCTGTATATTGACAAAGGTGGGTTTTGTGTGAATTTGATAAATCACATTCTTATTTACATTTCTTCATTGTCTTCCAAATATTAAAAATTGTCTTTTAATAGTAATTAAAAGTAAAAATTCCAAGATTTTGCTTATAAAATGTAAATTTTTAAAAAATGAGCAAAAGTCTTGAATATAACATCCTAAAATGTGTACTTTCAATTCCTTTTGAAAAAAATTTAAAATTGGAGTAATATGGCAATCTCTAGGCTGTAACATTAAAAGCCTTGCTGGAATATTTTGGATGTTTTGTAATCTTTTAATCTTATTGTCTGGACATCCAAATAGTACAAAATTGCAGTAGTCCAGTCTAGAAGTAACCACAAAGGTATAACAGTAGCGGCAGATGATTGATTCAGATAGTTCCTTTTCGTGCCAATATTCCGAATTTAAACAAGACTTAGTAATGTTCATGGGTGGATCCAGATATATTTTCTGACAGTCTTTCAAATTATCTTTGTTGATTCATCATACATTTTTGACTGCATTCCTACAGAAAAAATTAGATACCCATTAATGTGAACTTGAAAAAATCTGACCGTCTTCCGGAAGACCCAGAAGATGACCCCAATCTGCCCCTGATGTTGGAGATCCGTCTTTTCCCATTTTGTTTAATTGCGTGCAGTAATGGATCAAAGGCACACCTCTATATATTTCTAACAGAATACTGGCTTTTGCTCACATAATGCAATTTGACAAGGAATACGTATAACTGTTCATTTGGTTCTTAAAGCAAATAGTTGAGTTTGGAATTCCAAAAACTACCAGTCAAAAAGATCAAACTGTCCATGATGTTGAGGAGAAAGGGAATGTGTTTGGATGCTAAATTTTCATGAATGGCACATTAAAGTTTGCAAATAAAAAAGAAAAAAACTACAGTCTAACACAAGTCAATCAATCAACATATCAATATATCAATACTCTCAAAGCAAACATTTTAAGCTTTGTGATGCACACCAAAAACAGGGATTCTACTTGAAGATCTCACAAGAAGACTTCACTTGTAAACAATTACTCAGCAGAGAGATGAATAATTATTTCATCTCCCTGAAGAGTTTAATGTAATTTCCAGTGTTAAACAACATTCTAGGGATGAACCTGTTTTACAAGTTGTAAACAATGTGGTCTGCAGAATTTCCTGTTCTGTGTCCAACATGTTTAATTTAGTTCACATTGGCAAAAGTTCTTGATAAAAATAGCATGCAGGGTCAATTTTTAAATTTCCAAACAGTTATACCTAGTAGGAATGAGTATCTGAGAATATTCCAGTTTACACTAACTTTTTTTATTTTCTCTTGTTCATCAATGCCAGTGCTTTTCTAAATTGTTTCCCCTTATTTAAGATGATACACTGTTTATCCCTTAGGATCTCTCCCAATGAATTTGTTTTTCTCCCTCATCCATTTTACTATTTTTAACTTGTTTAATTACAGTTTTATTAATTTTTTTTTCAGAATGCTCAGGTCTTTAACTTTCCAGATATTGACAAAGAAACAAAACAGGTAAGCAAATAGTGACAGGAAATATACTGATGCACTACATCTGTGAAAATTATTCCAGATTTTACAAGTAGAAGTAGACAGTGTTTTGACAAAGCAAGTATTATGGTTATTGTACGGTTTGCACTAGGTACTGAACTTAGGGGTCTTTGGACTTCTACTGACAGAAATGGGGAGAGGTTGTTGAAGAAGTCATTGTGTTCAAAATTTAGAGGTACTAGTAATTTTTTATACTAGTTACAGTAATGCTTCAGGGACCCTGACGAGTTATGGTAATGAAACACCTGTAAGGGTTCATTCCCATTGAAGCTGTCAGTTTACCTAAATTGATCCGATCCGTGGGGACTCGCGCTGAATGCAATCAGCTGAACAGATTAACATGCCTCTTGTATGTATATTTCCAACATACCTGTATAGTCATCAGTTTTTCTGTATTCTATTCAACATAAGATGGGGGCATGGTAATCTGTTAAACTGATTGCATTCAGGGCGAGTCTCTGCTGATTTGGATCAATTTATGTAGACTGATAGTTTCAGTGGGAATTGACCCTACATTGTCATGATGATCTACATATTATCTGTTGTTCAGCATTTGAACACATGTAAGCTATGGATGTAGATTGTGAGATTTCATGTTTTTCAAATTCAGTATATATTCATTTTAGTAAGTGTGTTCATGACATTAAGCGGTAATTTCACCACCACAGCAATATCAATCCTTGAAAATTCTCCAATTTGCCAATTAATTGAGACATTTTTGTATCATGCCTCATTAAACCTGTTGTAATATATACTAATCTTGCATGATAAGTTCGTGTTATGTAATGAAATACACTGATTATGACGGGAAACAATTTCAAAGGAGAATTTTCAAGTAGCAATGATGGTGACTATCTTGGTTTCTGTTATGAAGCCTTTTTTTTTTCAAATGAATCCATTTTGATGAAGACTTTGATCAAGCTTGTTTTGCCTGAAAACAAATAACTTTTTGAAGTTCTTCAGCAAGAATGAACTTACTATTTACAAGGAAAAAAACATTAATTTTTGTTTAAGCCACGTTGTCATGTACTGTATGTTAAGTCCTCTCACTGGAATTATAAAATATCCTAATTTGTCTTTCAGCAAATTGTTAAAGTAGCCCTTGCTCATCTGAACGACCCCACATACCAAGAAGCCTATGTCCCCTTTCTAGAGACCCTGAGGATTCTAAGCCGGGACAAAGCCGGTCTGGAAGCACTGACTACAGATGAGCTGTTGAAGACAATGGTAAAACTGGCTGGATTAGAGTGCTTCTCTCATGAAGAAGGTGAACAAGGAAATGGACCCAGTCAACAAGGAAATCCCCAAGGTAATGGAAAGACATCAAGATGATCCAGTTACCCTGAAGAGCGTGGGTTTATACTATAGGAAATTTGTGTTGCTGATATGTTGAACAAGTACAAATTGACTTTATCGTCATCGTTGTGGAAGTAAGAGTAAAACAGTTCTGCATCACTTATTGTTTTTTTTTCTCTTTAAATAATTTAGCAGGACATGATTTCATGATTTCATTTGCATCGCCACATTGACTTTATTTGAAAGTGTGGGAGTCTAATGCATTACTGATATGAAGAAGTGTAATGATTATGAACATTGCCATAAGAGTAGAGATAGTATATCTTTCATACTGTATAAGAAATGACTTGTTAGAGGTTACCAGTTACACTGATACAGTACATTTAAATGCACAGATTTCTTCATTTGGCATAGAGCCAGTTCCAGAACATGATATAATGATGAAGAAGAACTATTCATTTCAGTGAATGTATTTTAATCTCATTCAGTTATTTATGGAAATAGAAGTCATTCACGAGGTGGCAGTTGCCTTTCTTATTGAAAACAGTTTGTTGTTTTTCTTTAACAAAATTTAACAGCATGATAAATTCCAGTTTTAGCAGACCTAACAGAAAACTACATTGATGGAATGTGTGTCATATGCTGTACTTGAAAACCCTCCAGTATGTAAGATGTGGCAAGATAATTAACACACACACACACACACACACACACACACACACACACACACACCTTTATCCATGAACTTGCAAACACAAGAAATTCACTTGCAGATTTTCTCGAAAAGATACACCAATACATCATATTTGATCTCTGATCCTACCTAACACATGGAAGATTGAATGCTTATTAACTACACTATATATAAATCTTTTATAAGGCTATTATACATAAGAGGAAATTGCTTGAAAGCAAATATTCAGGGGTTTATAGCGTGCTGGTAATATCCGTTTTTTTTTCTCTGTGAAACCTACTGAATTTGATTACATACTTGACTCATCCATGTACAGCAAATAAACATATGTGCCATTAAAAGGTATTCTTTATGCAGCTTCAAGAAGACAGTGCTGCCATTGTTGGATTGAGACTTGCACTCAGTATGTAGGGCATTCTTAAATAATTTAGGAAACTTTCCCTCATTGAAACCAGCAACAGACCTGTCTTAGTCTCTCACTTAACTCCAGTACCTTAATGGATGCATAAAGCAAGGGTCATAAAATGTCTGCTTTGATGCACACATTGTAAGCAAGAGAGTAATATGAGCCATGTTTTAAATGTTTGATGTATTCAATCAAAATGGTCCCAGTCAATATAGGATGATAATCAGTTCTATAATGTTCTATAGGTATGCTTGAATCAGGTTTTGAATTCATTGGTTTAAGTACACTGTGAGAACTAAATTATACACGGTTATAAATGGTAAATTCCATGAAAATATTTTGTTTATATTTAAGTATAAATATATACTATTTAGTATTTTATTTACTAAGTTATTTTATTATTTATTTATTTATTTTTTTGGAGGAGGGATGAAGTTGTTTGTCATGTTCAAGTCTTATTATGTATGAAATCTGAAAAAGAACTAAAAAAAAAACAAAAAAAACTGCTGTATGTTTTATAGAACTCTTACTGAATTTGACCAGGTTTAAATCACTGTACATTACAAGTATTATCATTTTATTTTCAGTGGTCATTGAAGCTCAGAAATGTTTGTGTAATCTCATCTTTAACAGTTCCAGTGCCCAACGAATATGCTGGTAAGTTTATAACCATGATGTTTGAGAGAGAGAGAGAGAGAGAGAGGGGGGATTTTTTATGCAGTAAGCATGCATCAATGCTGGCAGTCGGCCAGTATGGTCCCTGTGAACCTAATGTTCAGCCAGCAGCACAGACATTTGAGTGCATTGTCATTTTGTTGCCAACCCACAGATAATTCGATTATTGTGCAATATATTCCCTTAGGAATCAACTAGCCCAGGTTCCATAGTTTTGTCATGTCCACAGACTTTGTGCTGATGAGTATCATGAAGGTGGCAGATATAGAATGACTGGCATTCTTTGGCTGCAGCCAGCATTGTTTTCACTAAATTTTTTATTAGACTCACTATCTCTGGGCAAAGGCTTAAAGAGTCAAATTCTCAGCATATTAGGCTGTTGGGTGATTGAGTTAATTCACGCTCCTCATTGTGACACTAGTATGCCATTTATCTGTTTCTTGGAGTCAGTTCAAAAAGTATATTAGTTAATTAAAATGATGCCGATTGCAGCGTTGTTCTCCTACTTGACCATTAGTATTTATGCTTTCTTAACTGTGTGTGTCCAGAGGTGATGGGCTGGTGATAAAAAAATTTTAACTCCATGGAAAACCAGATGTGGTTTCACAGTGCTGTTTGAGTATGTGACTGTAGGCTCTAGATACAGATATATGAGCCAACTTTTCAGTGGTAGAAGGTATCCTACCCACATTTGAAAATTTCTTAAAGTCGTATCTTTATCCTGAAATTAATCTGAAGCTTACCTAATGTTGTTATATTTCCTTCTGAACCTTAGATCCTTGCAAGGTCCATGTCATGGTATCTGACTACTTTATGCAAGAAATAAAAGTGTCTATATTATACATGATATAAGGTCAAGATACAAAAACAAACATTTTGTGTGTGTTATGATATGAAAATGAGACCATTCCCGATTCTGTGCGATTTGTATTTTTGTGATACCAAAAGATGGATTTCATTCTAAATGACTGGCTTGTCAAAAAAGTATTTGTTTTCTTTTTCTCCAATGTAAATTGCTTGGAATATTTGATGGGATATGCATGTACCAGCATGAGGTTATGCAGTGCTGTTATAAACTTGCTGATGTAACAGCATGCTGCGATTATATGGGTTTAAATAAAAAAGTATTGAAGTTGATGATAAACTTTAAAAAAAAAAGAAATGTTAGTAATTTAGATATGGAAACATTTGTTGATGGGATAATCAACAGTCAGTTAATGGTAGCACTTTAAAATGTTTTGTTGAAGAATGTTGCTATGAACAGTGCATGTGTTTCATCTTTTTGAGTTGCCCTAACTGTGCTGTGTGATACTGATGTTGTTATTGGAGATTTTCTATTTCAAAGCTACAGCTTTGCTTCAATGTCAAATTTGACTGCATGTTACAGACGGTTTCTCTATTTGTGATGGTTTCTTATTTTTATGAACAAGATTTTCAGGGTTTCTAGCCCCTCTTTCTGATTATTTTATCTAAAAAGTCCGTTAAAAAATAATATTATGAAAGTGCCTTATTTTTTTTTAGAATAAGGTAAGCTTCTTGGCAAGTTCCACACAATATACATCCAGTTATGATATTATCCTAAAGGTTCATTTGATGCAACATTTAATCATTACATCTTTTGACTGCCTTTATTACCTTCAATTTTTGCAATAGGAAATGAAGACGTTGAGGCAGAAATTGTATAGCACCTCACTCTAACACACCTGTACTGTGTGCCATAAAATACTTCCTTTTCATCTGGCATTCAATGTAAATCTAGTGCGTTTTTTTTTTTCAAACCAATTCATTCTGTTTAAGGATAGAAACTCGTTTGTTATGACAAAGATATGTCTTGCTCTTCAGAGGGCTTTTATTAATTAATTATTGCCTTCAGCAGATTCAGAATGTTACTTATTTCTGATACCATTTGATAATATTGTATTTTTTGTCATTTCCAAAGAAAAAAGGGTTAATGGAATGACTTTTTTCTAATACACTTGTAAGTATCGTTTTCTTAATGTTTTTTTCATTATTGGGGATTTTTGTTAAATCTTTCAGTAATCTTAGGTTTGAACAATACATAAAGCCAATATGCAATCTTATATTAGTTTTTTTTGTTGACTTTCATCATCAGAAATATATAGCCTATACAGTGTGAACTGTTACCCAGCCTATACATAATGGTTTGATTCAGTGGTGGCCTGGGAATATAATGAAGTGCATATTGCATGACATTTTAATAAGTCCAAAATTAAATAGATTGCACAGAATAGACACCCTGATCAGTTGAAATAAGATCATTAAATGTTGCCATTGCATTAACCCACTGTTACTATAGCAATCAAATTGAATATTCACTTTCGAGGGAATTGATGGACAAAATTTTCATGGATATTATTATCAGCCTGTGAAAGAGCAATCCTAAGCTATAATTAACGGGGACTGTGTGAATTTGTATTGAATACATGCAAACAATGTGGATAATGTTTCTTTTATAGGGTTGTTATATATTCAGTAGAAGTGATGGCATTAAATAAGATGCTTTGTGGATATTCTGTCAAGTTATTATTTTTCTGCTTTGTTTTTGACATACCTGTATGTGCCTTCAAGAATTGTTGCTTCTCGAAAAATACAATTATATATTCTGATATGAAATTCATTGCCAATTTTCTGTTATCTGGTATTGATTTATAAATTTTTTCATATTTCTTTTTGGAAGGGGGATCCTACAAGCAAAGTGCCTCATAGCTGACACGTGAAATCTATTGTTTTGTGGTATCTGCTTTTGAAGCTGTTTTGGTAATCAGTAATTTAAAAGTGAATATAGAAAATGACATTATGTAGAAAATTGGTTTTTAAACCCCATAGATATTAGTTATCAGGATATTTTTTCTTATTTATATAATACCTAACCTTAACTGCACACTGACCAGAAATGGTTTTGTTACAAAATACATTTGGCCCTAGAAGTTAGTAAACCATGATCACTCTTGAAAAGATCACAGCTATCAGGAGACGGTTATTGATTTGTGGTCAGGATATAGTTCCAAGCAATATTGCTTATGCTTTGCTGAGATTTCTTTCCCCTGCTTCTGGGCTGTAGCTACTGTGATATGTCCATTAGGTTGTCCATGTGCTTGGCAGTGATATAAACAAAAGCTTTAGAGAGATGCATGGCCCTGGCAGAGACAGAAATAAAGAATATCTTTTTTTGCCATATGTTTTGGGGAAAATGTGTTAGGCAGTTTGAAACCATAAGAATCAGACATTTTATATCTGTATCTTTTACACCTGAAGTCCATTATGTTTGTTGCCTTGGTTTGTTCTCAGGACTGCTTTGATATAAAGATATTAGGTAGTTTTTTCCAAAATCGCTCAGTTTGTCAAGGGAACCATCATGTTAAAAAAGGTGTTTGTATAGGCTTGCCATATAACACATATTATCAGACCATGAAGTCGCAATTTAAGTTAAAAATATGGCTATGGAAATCACTAATTTGTGGATCCAAGTCACAAACAGCAATTATCACCTATGAGGCCTGCATTACACTCATCCTTTAACCTGCTTTATATTTAGATCTCTTTGTGAACATATTCTTTATAGTGAGGATCCTCGCTTTTTTAAAGTCATTATATTTGAATAAGAATTACTTTGAAATTGAATTTGCATCAATATTTGTAGATATTTCAATCATGATGCTTGATCTGTACTATTGAACATTATATTTGTTCTATCTTGATTTTTTTCTTTTTTGCATAGAAGGTGTTTGTGTCTTTTTCTATTGCATAACATGCAAATGATGATTATATTGATGCATTATTTTTTCTAGCAACAATGGTTGTGTGGAAGGCATTGTTCAAAGATTGAAAACTTACAAAGATCCAGAACTTCAACATGAAATAAAGGTTAGTGAATTAATAATGCTTCATTTACAGGAGTGTTGATGGTTCTCCTTTGCCTAGTAACCTGGAACTGTCTCCCAATAACCAGTTAGATCTGTTGGCCAGGATTGAAAACTTTTTGCCCTATGTAACATTGTGCTCTTTATGGTCTGGTATTGTTTCAGAAGGCTCTCTAGACCAAAAACCTGTAAAAGTATAAAGGCATTGATGCACTGACATTTTTTTGTATGTTAAATTCAGCAATTGCAAAAAGACCATGAAATTTGAAATGGTGCCAGCAACTAATAAATGGCGAGTGATAATGATGAGCTTCAACTAGTCCATGCCAAATTAAAAAAAAAAACTTTTAAGAAAAATGTCTTTCAATATTGCATTTTAAGTGCATGAGTGGTATGACAGTTTCATTGGGTAGAAGATTAAAAATGCGATCAAAATTCATTTTCAAAGAGTATTTCATGCCAAGATCTTTAAGTGCTGTACTTTTGTTATGGAGTAAAAAACCAGTATCAGGACATTTCCGGTAAATCCAACCTGATGGCCAAATCCTCCCAGGTTTTTACTTCATTATGAAGCATATGTTGCCCTATACTTCTCGCTGCTCAGTAGCAATTTCTTTTTGCAGTCTTCTCATTTTGCAAGTAATAGTCAGTAAAGGGCTGCATCGTACATGTATACTGTAATAAATCAATTCCGATCAAAGCATTGATGATTTTGGTTGCATTCCACTCTGATTTAATCAAACCGTTTGCAGAATACCTTCAGGAAATAGAAGGTTAGTATGTATCCACTTGCTACATGCTTTTTAATTTAAATGGTTGGATAATTATAGGATACCCCTGTATGATCCAGATGTTCATAACAATCAAACTGTTAGTTCCTGAAATTAGTCCTAAAACTGCCTTAGTGAAAACTGAGCTGAATGATTCCTGTGCCGTGTCAGTGAAGCAACTACTTACGAATAGGTGTGGCACATTTATGTCATATTTTTTTACCATATTTAAATGTCAGTAAGTACAAGTGATGGGTTGAATTTCACAAATCAGTGATTCCTGTGGTGATGATGAACATATATGATGAAAGATTTCAGTAGTTTCATGCTGTTCCTGTGCTTCTCTAAATTTAAGTAGAAATTTTAACAAATATGGCACTGGCAGTTCTGCTATAAAAAAAGCATTAGGATAGTTCAGATATTTTTTTAATATTTATGTTCTGTTATGAGATGTTATTCATTAATTTTCATGCTTGAATAAAATTAATAAATTGATAATGCACATGAGTGCTATTCACTCTTGGCTGTGGCTGCATTTCCAGATTAATTGTGACTGAACTTCGTTTGTTCTATCTCAGCAGACCATTTCATATACAGGCCTTGTAAAGAAATTGCAGTTGTGATCCTGAGCCACAGATTTGTGATCTTGAATGCTGAATTAATTACTTGAACTGTGATTTCTTGGAGGGAACATAAAAATATTTGTTGTACGTGTCACAACATATATCGTGAAGCACAAGTCAGCTGATCTTCCTGTTCAGCCCATTAGAATGTGCCAGACATTTTCAAGAAGGCATTATTCCCATATAATTACATGCTATTGGTATAAATAGTAAATTATAAAAATACATCAGTTTGATTTGTTTTATACTTTTACTGGGCCTCAGTGTGAAAGTCAGGAATCCTTTCTCTTTCATCATAGACAAAGAAATTGGAAAAAAACATTATTCTTTTTCCTCTTCCAAAACCTTTATTTGAGGTTCCTTGAATCTTTTGAGGTACGTTGAATCTTTTGTTCAAAGTCAAGAAAAAGAACCCTTATGTAAACAAGGAGAGGCCTGAATAAAATTGGCCATATTGTTTGTTCAAGATGTACATTGCGATGCTCGCAACATGACATGAACACAGTTCAAGGCATTAATTTAGCATTTGCAATCACAAACCCACATCTAGTGATCACTAATATAAATTATTGGTTATAAGATCTCATATAATCCCTCACCATAGGAAACTTATCCAATACCTGTGTGGCCCCAACCACCATCAATGTAAATAAGACCTACAAGTATTTTGTTTGATTAGTTCCACTTGCTTATCAGACAGTATCACACCATATGCTAAGAAAGCACTACCAAGAATGAGAAAGCTACTGTGACTATAGCAATATCCTAAATGACTTTTTATTTCGTCTAGAAGACATAAGAAACAGCAACTGGTGTCAAGACATTCCCCACACAGCATTAACTCAAACAATTTATTTTTATCATAATATGAAAACTGCGAGGCTGTATATAAAGTACACTGATGTATTATAGATTTACTTTTTTTATATGAGTCTAACCAAGCATGACTTAAGTGTAGCAATTAACTATGCACATGCACAGTGCTCATTTACTGAGAGATCACAGTTTTTTTCTCAGTATCTGACAAGATAAGGCAGCCTGCTGTCACGTCAGGCTCTTAATTGGTAATCTGGCCTGTAGGAGACATCACTTTTGCTCTACTTCATCGGCTTAATGTATTAAATGTGTATAATCTGTGGACATATTTAGGTCTGGCGCATAGAGATTCTTTCAAAGGTGTCTACATATTTCTGATGTTTCAGTTGAAATTAACTTGACCCCTCATTTATCCATAAAAAATAAAATATATTCAGGGCAGAGATTTTTCTGACTATTGACAGTTTAGACTTTGACAATGAACTGGAGATATTTTGAACGAGTGCTCTGCAAAATTAACAGCAGGTTATCACAGTATTACGTTTCTTTTCAGTGATGTGAGAAAGGTATTCTTTTTATCTAGATGGCATTTTATAAGTTATGTCAGAGGACCATTTTGAATGAATATCTTTGTTGTATTTCTTTGCTCTTTTCTCTGCTCATTAACTTGAACATGTCTAAATGTTTTGACCTTGAAAATACCCAATCAACATTCTGCACTCTACACTTGCACTCTGCCAATCATAAGCAGAATGTTTTAATTATACTGGCTGTTCAGATATAAAGCTCGTCTTTTTTTTTTTCTGAAAATTTCTTTTTTTACCCTTTAGTAATATTGCTTTCATGTGAGAACCATTTATTTGATATGTACATATAACTGGAGTACTCCCAGTGACAGAACAACAGGCCTTTGGTGATCATTACCATATGCTCTCTAAAAATGAACATAATGTGTATTTTATAATATTTCAACTTTAAAAGATGATTTTCCTATTTTTGTTCTTTTCAGTTCTTCGACATGAGAATGTTGTTCTTGTTGACGGCCTTGTGTGCAGATATCAGGTATGCCTCTCTGACATCCATGTAGTAATAAGCGGCGGTAATGTTTCAGTAGTAATAAGCAATAATAACATGATCACTCTCTTGAGTCCATTGTAATTAAATAAAACAGATAAATCAACTGGAAGGAGCATTGAGTGCCGAAACCGAAAAGTTGACATTTGGTTAGCTCCTTGGAAATATTTATAGATTTGTCTGTACACAACTAACTCAAGAAGGTTATTCACTTCTTTGCATGAAATGAATTGTTTTACAGTTTAGAAAAATTGATTAATGGTAGCATATAAATCTACATTAGCGAGATTGATTCTAGATATTTGAGTTTCTTTTGATAGATATAAATGAAGAATTATTTGCAATAGTGCAGCTTGATAATTTATGAAATTAGTTCTTTGTGTTGTCAGTTGAAGAAACAGGGTACCAAGTATAAACCTTTATTGATATTGAAGGAAAAATTATAATTTTTATAATACAGATTCATTAAGAAGAACTTGCTTACAAAACCATTTCTTGTCAATGAGTGATTAAATTATTTTTACACATTCAGTCTTTGGCATTTATCCTCTTTGCCATGGCTTGGTTTGTAATAGTATATATTTGCTCAAGCAAAGTCACCTACTTTTCATCAGTCAAATTATAAATTAGTTTAAAAAGATTCATGTTTTTTCTTCAACCAAAGTGAATGATCTTTTGATGCAAAAACTCCGTATTGTGAGCATTGGTAAGACAAACTGCTACACAGATGAAATTAGATCTTATATTACAGTTGACCAAGCATTGTCATAGTATATATCTGCACTGCCCACATTGATTCTAGATATCAGAATTTATTTCCATTCCCACTGGACTATCTGGCTCTAGTCCACTCAAGCTTGAAGATGGACCATTCACATTATGAAGTCTAACCTATTGATCTCGTCTGAGGCCTCCGTTTGACAGATAGGACTCAGATGACTACTTATTAACTGTTCATGCACAACTAGTTTGTGCTGCGCTGTGAGATTGGTTCAGGAAATACTCCCAGGCTGTGTTTACATGAGGGTTAGGAAAAGTGAATCTGAATTGGGCATATGCCAGTGGTTTCATCTAAAGCTTTTTGACTACTTTTAACTTAGTTTTGAGGTGCACTTGTTACCACCAATGTGACTCAAGAGCCCAGGAATTTATCCACTAGACAAGATGCTGTGCACAGACTGGCTTGATTATAAGTAGCAATGCTGCATCATTTAAACCAATACAAATTCCACTCTCCAAGTGCAGTATGAACACTTCCCTAGATTCTCCATGCTTGTAGTCAGAGCCAGGGATGGGGGGTGGGGCACTCACGCAAAGCACCCTTTTCATCGGAAATTGGTTCATTCTGAATTAAAATTTGATCTAGATTTTATGTACTTTGAAAGGAACATCTAGGTTTCGCATTATATGGGTCCATTATTTAAGAAAAAGAACCACTCCTTTGAAATTATTGGCTACAAGCCTCTCCTGAGTCATAATTTGCTAATAGTTAGTTTTTTCTCCTGATGTGCAAATATATCTTGATTTTAAGATACATGACTGTGAGTGAATGACCTAAGTCTCCTTTGGACAACCTTTAAAGCAGACATAACCTGATTTTCTTGAGCAGCACAGGTTTCAGTTGGATTACTGCAAGCAGCTATATCATTTAACTGCAAAATCTGATTGAAGCATAATAATATGATGACATTGTAGGCACATGAGTTCAAATTTAAATACCTCCAACTGTTCACACTCTCCACCATTATATACACTTCATGGATTACTGTGGACTAGTGGATTAATGTGCAAGTTGGACAATTAACTTGACCTTTCTAGCGTGTAGATCACTTTTCAATTAAGATGCTAGATCTTGACAGGTATCCTTTCATATTGTAAGCTTCCTATATCCATTGGGTAGGCATGGCATTTTTTCTTTGATTCACTCAGGTTATCACACATCAAAAGGCACTTAATATGAATTTAAAAGCCTTCATACTTGTTCACAATTGTCTGTCTGGTTTTTCTTCCTCTTTTTTCCCCCCTAAATATGTTATTAAAAATTCTGTGGAGTAAAGTATGGACATTACAATATAGATTACAGCCACTTTCATGTTGCTGTTACTCTTTTAACACAAAACAAAATACTTATGTTTCTTCTTATTTATGGATAGGCTCATCAGCTTGGTGTATATATGATGCAGTAAAAAAAAATCTCCAAACAAGCAGAGGAAATCTAACTTTATTGCAATTGCTGCAAGGCAGCTTCCCATAAGATCTTTGCTTTTATTAAAAGAACTTCATATGTACATGTATGCGACTTATGTATTTATAACGTTCACAGGGTTATGAAAGTCTTGTATCTGCCCATTTTATTATCTTTCAGACCAAAACTCCGCACAGAACTGCATGGCTTAACATATCTGATAGAGGTGCTTGATCTCTGTCTCAAGGATTCAGCTGAACAAGGTCTGCCCATGTCTGATGCCGATGTGGACCTCTGTTGTGAAGTTCTCAAAATACTCTTTAACCTGACAGTATCTATGGATAGATTTAATATAGATGAAGTAAGTGTAACCAGAATTATATAAGTCTAAGTCAATTTTGTTGAATTAGATCACAGATTGAGATACTGTAAGCATGTCTGGTGAATGATGTTCAGAAATGTGTATTATGTAATTCATAATAACAGTTCATTGATCAGATAGTTAGTTGTTGTTTGATTGATTGCATCATTTAATCCTACAAACACCTGAACATCAGTTACAACTACATTACTTGAAATCCGTTGATTTGAATCTGATCTTTTAGGAAGAAGAGGCACATTGTCTGAGATTAGTCAGTCTGCTTCATGACCTCCTGGTTTGTAAAACTGTCACCCCAGAAAAAGGCGAAGAGCTTGTCAGGTATGTGCATTTCAGAGAGTGGAACATTTGCATTTTTTTTTTGACTTGCCACATATCTTCCTGAATTAATGGGGATTGACACTAAATAATTCAGTGTTCATTTGGCTGTCTGTTCTTTTTTAATCATTATTTTTTAGTGATATCTGGTATAACATTATGCAAGGCCTTTCACCTTTTTTTGGATCCTTTTAAAAAATTGTACTGTTTAAATCATGTATAAAATTACATTTCATATGGTCCCCTACATCTGAAGATGGAAAACATTATTGACCAAAAAATGGGACTTTTCTCTTCTGATATTGTAGCCACACGGTAAATCTCCTGACCAACATGCCACGTGCCAGCTATGAGGAATTGCTCACTCCAATCAATGAGGGATCGTCTGCTGCTGCCTCTGGAGGAGCAGAAGATAACAAGCTGGAGTATGATGGGAATAATGTGGATGCTGTGGTCTCCTTACTACAATTCTTGGACAGACGATTAGAAAGGGTAAGTAAAAATCTGTTTTTTTTTTTTTTGTTTTTTTTGTTTTTTTTTTTCTTATGAGCAAAAGTGCTTTCTTAGGATAGCAAGTAGGTGTAGTGTTCTGTTTTTGCCTTATGTAATACCAGGTAGAGAAATGCTACGCTTTGCAAAACAAGCATTCTTTTTCATTAAGTCTGAAAATCTTTTGAACATAATTGAAAAAATTCACTGGTTCCTCACACCTCTAATAGTAAATGTACAGCATTTTTAAATCTTAACAGTATTCTTTGTATTAACAGCACAATTCTTTCCAGCAGTCTCACAAGAATATCAAAGAGAGCCTCACTCCCATTCTCCACTGCATGTGTGAGATCTGCCGCGCAAAACCTGTGATTCGCAAGTTTTGCCGCCTCAAGGTGCTACCATATTTAAAAGATGAAGTAAAACATTTGCCAGGAGAAGGAGATACCTTAAGAAACAAGTAGGTTGTTAATTGTGTTGTGGCTGGTGGAGAGAAAAAGGTTGTGTTTACACTAGATTGCAATGGTCTGAACATGAAGTGTGCAGTAATGCTTGTAATCAAATATCAGGTTTTCATAAAGAATTAATTTTTTGGAATATGTTACTGTAAGAACATATAGCATCACATACAGCTGATTATCTGTGCTTAAGACAAGCAAAACAGAGTCTGTCATTTAGACCTACTACACTTTACTTTTCTGACTTGTGTGTGAACAGAATCTTAGCTCTTTCCCTCTCTGTGAACTGGGAGGATATCCAGTATGTATGGGTTTTTGAAAGCATGCTAAAACCTCTCTTTTCATGCGTATTTCAAAGCCAAAGGTTAAAGTAAATCAATAATCAGTCCCCTTGGAGTTAACAAATTTCCCACTAGATAATGTATATCAGCTGGTTATGCATACCTAATGCTTTGGATATAAGAATTATTAGGTGCATCGAATCAGTCTCAGTGCAGACTTCTCTCTTAATGTATATCTTTATATGTGGAACTACACTTTTTTAGACCAAGACTTATTTGAACTAATTGAGGCAATTATTGTTGATAATTGTTATTAATCATAGAATTACTCCAAGAAAACCATATTTAATGAATTCTATACTAAATAAATATTTATATGTTTATATGTTTGACTGCAATTAAGACTTGTTTATATATGTCATATAGCTTATCCCAGTCTTACGGCAACTGTGTCTTCTCACACATACATTTAAAACTTTTTATTTTAGATTGTGTCGTCTGCTAACATCGCCTATCACAGAAATAAAAGAGTTGGCTGCAGACTTTTTGTTTGTACTCTGCAAGGAAAAAGGTATGGGTTGGCAATCACCAGTTACTGTCATGTTCCGTACAGTAGGTGGTGCTGTTATTAGGCAATAAGTATGTTGTGTTTTCATATAAAAGCCATTCAATACTATAGAATTTTTCCTGTTGGTAACTTTGGAACAGTTGCTGACATTTTTATGAAGAGAGAGATGATTGGGTAATACTGTGAAGTAGATGCACATTAATTTTTGACAAGATTTTATATGCAGATTTGGTGAAAAAGTATGTTTGAAGTTTTTCTTAATTAAATCAAGTGCTTTGAATGAAAAGTTGACTCATCATGCTTGGCAATTTCTTCTTACTGATATAATTTCCTATGGCATGCTTATCAACAAAGAATCATCTTCCAACAGAAATGAATGCGCAGATTTTGAAATTACTCACTGAAAAAATAAAAACCTTTTCAGTTGGCCGGATGGTGAAATACACTGGGTATGGCAATGCAGCTGGTTTGCTGGCAAACCGTGGCCTAATGTTGGGAGGCAGAGGAAGTGGGGAGTACTCAGAATCCAGTGACTCTGACACAGAGGAGTATTCTAGGCTAAGAGATCAGTGAGTGCATACTGTAACAAGTAAAAGTAATCAACAAATCACTTCAAATTGCATCTCATTTTATGCTCAGTGAGTGAGACCATGACTTAATGAAAAAAAAGCAACCTCACTGAATCATTCTGATGATGTTGTTAGAAGAAATATTATGACTAATAATATTATAAATTTTGGGTTGAAGAAATATTTGTTGAGTCTCAGCCCTCAAGATTTCATTCAAGTAAAAAAGTAACACTAACAATCTGAGAACACATTTTGTGTAGCATGGATCTGATTGTTAAAGAGCTCATGTAATCAGATACCATTTTGTATACAGTACATAGAATTAAAACGTATATATATAAGTCAATCTATACCTTTCAACACCAAAGTTAGGTTACAGAACAAGTGTGGTTGGGGGTAAACACGATATAAGAATTTGTACTAAGGCTCATTGGAACCATTTGGATTAGTTCATTAATGTTTTGTTTCTAATTTGTAAAATCAGAAATAAATCCTGTCCTATGCAAACTTAAGTTTCGTTAAATCTTGGCCATAGGTGGCAATTTCAACACTTGAAATAAATTGGATTCATGTTTATCATCATTTCATGATAATATTCACACTAGCTCTTTGCTGAAGTCAATATTCAATTAAAACAATTAAAATGTTTATTTAATATATTTGAAAAGTTTAGAAAATTTTTTATGTTCTTTTTAAAAGTCAATTTGCTACTTGTTTACAGAGTCAATCCAGTGACCGGGAGGTGGGAGATGCCAAGGCCCAACCCAATGGAAGGGATGACTGAGGAACAAAAAGAATATGAAGCAGTAAAGCTGGCAAACCTCATGGAGAAATTAACACGGTAAATTAATGCTATTTATTTGTTGTTTTCAGTTGTTTTATTATAAGTCACTCATATTTTTAATGTTCAGACACAATGACACATGCTTTTATTTGCATTTCTCTTATTTTCTGTTAATTCTCGAAAAGCACATTTTTTAGTGTTTTTAAACTTGATGAAGCAGTCATATCTGGATAAAGAGCTGAAAAATATTTCAATCGATGTCTCAAGAGAACAGTATGCCTTTTTGTTTCTGTTATATTAAACCCAAGCTAAATGATAATTCTTTCTTATTTAAGGGTGCATTCCCATAGATTTTAGATCGATCTATCCACTTAGGGAGTCTCACTGGATTACTTTCAGATAATCCAGTTTAAATGTCCGTCCCGCCTACTACAACCTGTAAGGGGGTAATTAACTTTCGTGCCCGCTCGGCTGACAGCTATTTAGCGTGAACCCCCAGGGAGTTAGGTTAATCTAGTTGGATCGATCTAATCTCTGGGAATGGGGTCTAAGTCTCTTTTGCTTCTAGATGTCTCATTTTCAAGCCTGAGAGAAAGAAAACAGATTATTAAACCACTTATTGAAGTCCTAGCAAAGTTGATACTTATAAGTTAACATTTTGGTTTTTACATCAGGGATGGAGTGATACAGCCCAGTCGTATTGGTGAGGATGGTAGACCACAGCCCATCGAGCATGTCCTAGAGTTGACAGCAGGACTGGAGGCTGCACAGGGGCACAATGATGATTCCGATTCTGACTAGAAAACATGATGGTGAAAAGAATATGCAGAGAGAATGAAGTAGTGTGTTACATCGAAGTAATACTTTGAGACTTCACATTTATTTTGTCAGAAAAAAAGAAAAATGCACCATTTGAAAGAAACTGACTTCATGTCAGATTTAATCATGGAAATTGAGATTGTCGCTGTTCTTGTTTCCTTCATGGACATGACTGATCTCTCCTATAGACCACTCTAGAAACTGGTATCCAAGAAACACGCAAAAAATAGTTTTTTTTGCCTACCATTGTAAGAAGAAGGGTCATTATGGAATTTTTAACATCCACTTGTGGATAACAGATGTAAGATTTGGTATCTTTCTGTTATCATGGTTAAGATGAGTAAATTGCAGTTTCAAGATCCTTGGAACATTGTACAGGGGTGTTACAATTACACCAAACTAAACATTTATATATAATTGAGAACCCAGTGGCCACTTCTTTGTTGTTGTCGTAACTGGATATTGAATTTTAGGATTCATTCGTATATTGTATTCTTTAAAGAGTTGCTATCATCCCTCAGCTTTAACCAAGCACAATATACTAGTTCTCATAATATTTCTTCTTTGTTTGTAATGTTAATAGATATACTGGTGAAGCCAGTAAATTTCTGTTGTAAAATCCTGCTTTAATATCATGCTGTAAATTTTAACTATAGTACACCAGTATTCAGAAAATGGTTAAAGCAGTCAATATTTCTCTTACAATCTTGTCTTAAATTAGAATGGATAACCTTACATTTGTTAAATCTTATCTTTCCTCGAGAGAATTAGGTGAAACTTTATTACATTTCCATTTGGGTTTGAAAAGAAACTCTTCAAACTAAATTTTATGCCAGCAGCTTACACGTTGAAATCAAATTGAAACTGCCTGTTACTTGCTTTTGCATGTACTTAAATTCTGTTGTTACCTATAAGTCTGTTTTCTTGTATTTTATTTCTAGAGGTAAATTTCTATAGCATAATTTGCTTTAAAATTTATCCATTTATCTCATGATACCTAGAGCTTTTTTCGTTAAGAATGTAATGAATTATTTATAATTAAAAGTAGTGCTATTTATGTAGTAGACATTCCTTTGTCTGGTGTAATAAAATTTACATTTACAGTTAATGTAGCTCTTTTTGTGATGAAATTAATACAACAGAATAGAAGCATGAGAACTTTTATTAAATAAATAAAACTGTCGCTTCCTACTCACTCACCAATGCCACATTTATACCAAACAAACAGGCATATTAAAAATGCAGTCCACTGAAGACATCCATCCATCCATTTTTTTTTCTTGGGGGGGGGGGGGGGGGTCAATCAGAATATACTACATGTAAATCCAAGTAACATACTATATAGTAATAGTTCACCTGGGTGCCATTGCTCTTTTAATATTAATTATTATAATTACAAAATTGTAATCGGGGATGTTGTATTGCTTTGAAATTTGATGGCCATACAGCTGTGTTCAGAGCAACTAAAAAGTGNCTTCCATGATGAACATTTAAGGAAAATCATGTCACTTACTGTTCTCAAACTTACAGGAAAGAAACATGGGACTAAAATACAGGTTCAGTAGGCAATGCAGTCTGTTTTGTATTTTTTGTATTTTTTTTTTTTTTTTTTTTTTTTTTTTTTTTTGGCAGTTAAACAGTTTTTTGTGAAAATTTAATTTTTCACATATTGGCATTTTAAAGGTGTGACTTTAAAGTTCCATGATCCTGAAGACTTTTGCTTGTCACATTTTCTGAATGTCCATGATACTAATATTTTATTAATAACATTTGATTGTCATTATGCTGTTAAACATTATGTAATGTTGCATCAAAATTTGAAGAAACCCCTATTTTGTGCACTGCTCCTATGATGACCATTTAAGGGAAATCATGTCACTTACTGTTCTCAAACTTACAGGAAAGAAACATGGGTCTAACATACAGCTTCAATAGGCAACTCAGTCTGTTTGGTAAATTTTTCTGGCAATTTAACAGTTTTTTGTGAAAATTTAATTTTTCACTTATTTGCATCTTTATTTTCTGTTTTTTTGTCTGTACATTTGACAGCTTTGCTGCCTTGTTTCTGTTATATTAAACCCAAGCTAAATGATAATTCTTTCTTATTTAAGGGTGCATTCCCATAGATTTTAGATCGATCTATCCACTTAGGAAGTCTCACTAGATTACTTTCAGATAATCCAGTTTAAATGTCCGTCCCGCCTACTACAACCTGTAAGGGGGTAATTAACTTTCGTGCCCGCTCGGCTGACAGCTATTTAGCGTGAACCCCCAGGGAGTTAGGTTAATCTAGTTGGATCGATCTAATCTCTGGGAATGGGGTCTAAGTCTCTTTTGCTTCTAGATGTCTCATTTTCAAGCCTGAGAGAAAGAAAACAGATTATTAAACCATTTATTGAAGTCCTAGCAAAGTTGATACTTATAAGTTAACATTTTGGTTTTTACATCAGGGATGGAGTGATACAGCCCAGTCGTATTGGTGAGGATGGTAGACCACAGCCCATCGAGCATGTTCTAGAGTTGACAGCAGGACTGGAGGCTGCACAGGGGCACAATGATGATTCCGATTCTGACTAGAAAACATGATGGTGAAAAGAATATGCAGAGAGAATGAAGTAGTGTGTTACATCGAAGTAATACTTTGAGACTTCACATTTATTTTGTCAGAAAAAAGAAAAATGCACCATTTGAAAGAAACTGACTTCATGTCAGATTTAATCATGGAAATTGAGATTGTCGCTGTTCTTGTTTTCTTCATGGACATGACTGATCTCTCCTATAAACCACTCTAGAAACTGGTATCCAAGAAACAAGCAAAAAAATAGTTTCTTTTGCCTACCATTGTAAGAAGAAGGGTCATTATGGAATTTTTAACATCCACTTCTGGATAACAGATGTAAGATTTGGTATCTTTCTGTTACCATAGTTAAGATGAGTAAATTGCAGTTTTAAGATCCTTGGAACATTGTACAGGGGTGTTACAATTACACCAAACTAAACATTTATATGTAATTAAGAACCCAGTGGCCACTTCTTTGTTGTTGTCGTAACTGGATATTGAATTTTAGGATTCATTCGTATATTGTATTCTTTAAAGAGTTGCTATCATCCCTCAGCTTTAACCAAGCACAATATACTAGTTCTCATAATATTTCTTCTTTGTTTGTAATGTTAATAGAAATACTGGTGAAGCCAGTAAATTTCTGTTGTAAAATTCTGCTTTAATATCATGCTGTACATTTTAACAATAGTACACCTGTATTCAGAAAATGGTTAAAGCAGTCAATATTTCTCTTACAATCTTGTCTTAAATTAGAATGGATAACCTTACATTTGTTAAATCTGATCTTTCCTCGAGAGAATTAGGTGAAATTTTTTAACATTTCCATTTGGGTTTGAAAAGAAACTCCTCAAACTAAATTTTATGCCAGCAGCTTACACACTGAAATCAAATTGAAACTGCCTGTTACTTGCTTTTGCATGTACTTAAATTCTGTTGTTACCTACAAGTCTGTTTTCTTGTATTTTATTTCTAGAGGCAAATTTCTATAGCATAATTTGCTTTAAAATTTATCCATTTATCTCATGATAGCTACAGCTTTTTTTTGTTAAGAATGCAATGAATTATTTATAATTAAAAGTAGTGCTATTTATGTAGTAGACATTCCTTTGTCTGGTGTAATAAAATTTACATTTACAGTTAATGTAGTTCTTTTTGTGATGAAATTAATACAACAGAATAGAAGCATGAGAAATTTTATTAAATAAATAAAACTGTCACTTCCTACTCACTCATCAATGCCACATTTATACTAAACGAACAGGCATAATAAAAATGCAGTCCACTGAAGACATCCATCCATCCCTTTTTTTTTTTGGGGGGGGGGGGGTCAATCAGAATATACTACATGTAAATCCAAATAACATACTATATAGTAATAGTTCACCTGGGTGCCACTGCTCTTTTAATATTAATTATTATAATTACAAAATTGTAATCAGGGATGTTGTATTGCTTTGAAATTTGATGGCCATACAGCTGTGTTCAGAGCAACTGGAAAGTGGGCTGATGCTTTTTGCCCGTGTTTTTGATGCAAATATGAAACCAAAATGAATTACTTGATGGACCTCAAGGCTAGAACCCATAAACATGTCAATGTAGATGGAGCATTCACAGTTACATTCCACGTTTTTCTCTTGATGTATTCTGGGTTAAACTTGTGGAAAATTTGTGAAGTGCAAACTGCATACAAAGCTATATGCACCAACCACACAAAACTGTTACTTTAAAAAACTGTTTTTCTTGATAATAATAATAATAACAACTCCTGTACAACAGTAACATTGTTCCTTGAAAAAACAAGCATCATGTTATATGCTCAGTGTATATATCCGAACCCCAAATAACTTCCCAAGGATAAATTATTCAAGTAAACAGCTGTGCAATATCTTGGCTCCAATGCACCCCATACTCAGTACAAAATGATCATAACAAAATGAAGAGCTTCTTTCCCTCATGGTAAATCAGGCTGTCTCAGTCTTTCTTCCCTGTTGTCATTTTTTGTGTGTTCCTTCAGCAAGTCCATAATTTCATTTTCATATTCTGGTGGTGTGGGTTCAACACCTGAAAAAAAGTAATATGTGTGATAACTTTATAACATGAAATACATAGAAAAAACTATTAATTAAACAATTTATATGATATATCATATAATGTACTTCAAAGACTATACTAAATTTCTGGCCCTAAAAGTATGTTCATTTTCCTTCAACTAACAAAGTTATTTGAACACTTACAGTAAAACATTTCATCCATTTTGACTCTTTCACTATGGGGAGAATTAACCTTGTTTTCACTGATATGTAATATTATAAAGCATAAGAATGAAAAATTTTAATATTTACCTGTTATCCAGTAATAAATATCCCAGTCATTATCTGGTTGGTTAATGAGGTGGTCATACATTTTTAGTTGCCTTTCATCAAAACCATTTAGATATTTGGAGGCAAAGGTACTGAAAATAATGATGAAAAAAATGATATGACCATAGGATACAGACTTCTCTCTCTTTTTTCAAGTTCCTTTAAACAACCTAAAAGGAAATGATTACATTCAACTGCTCTTTCCTGAACTCAAAGCTAAGCCTATTCCTAAAGTTTATTCATGTGAAAGTTGCTACTTAAAGCCAGTTTTTTTTTTTTTTTTGTGGACTCACCTAAGTAAAAGCCCATTCTCTGACATCCCCCTTTTCCTACTTTGATAGAGTAACCGTGCCCTCCTTTCTTCTACTGGCTCATTCAGTTTCTCTGGATAAGGTGGTATGGGAGGAATCTCCATCATGGGATGTATGATGTTTGGCTGGTCGGACTCCGATGACATGAGACGTATGTTTGAGAATGTTGGTTTTGCCTACAGTACAGGAAGAATACAAATACACATGGACGTAAGGGTATATTACTCTATTCAAGCAATACATGAAATACAAATAAGCCTGAAATGACAAAATTGTGTCCCAACACAGTTAGTGCTTTAGTCTTGACCTTCAAAGTTCAACTACTGCCGTACTGTAACGTACTGCATCACAATAACAGTAAAACACACCTTAAAGTTCCATAATCTATGCAAAAAAACAACATCAAATGCCATTATATAACATATACCGTTTTACATCGAAGAAATCCGGCCCAAACTGCTGAACACATTCTTTTAGCCATTCTTTCCACCTTTCGTAATGTGCATCTGTGAGACGGCTTCACCTAGTCACCTTGACCTAAACATATCCGTCAGCTGTCTCGATATCAATGTGATTTTAAAATAATGTTTACTGGAAAACGAGGCTGCATGTTGTAAACACGGATTTCCCGGGATTTTCCACAATTTTTTAATAAATTGATTAATAAATTATTTCCAAAATGATTTTATATAAAAATGCCCAACAAAGCATATTCAAAATTTTGTCAGAGTATGTATTTTGCTAGTGAATAAGATAATATTGCGCTATCGCCTTCATCGTGCTTGTCTTGTGACCTTATTTAAAGCACTAGATCGTACCAATGCGGGCTTGTTCAATTTATTCAGGGAGGATAGGGTTTAACGTTACGATATTTTGCAAACAAAATAATGGATAAAATTAGATCAAATGACAACAATTTGGCCTTCCATTTTTCATATATCTTTCAAACCATTACTGATATTCCTGGTTTGTCTTATCATCTTGGTATTGCCTAAATGACTGCTTCTACAAATGTACTTCATCTTCCTATTTGCCTTTAGGAAAGGTTCATAGTTCAGGTCAACCGCATAGTTCACATGAGAAAAGATGTCTGAGCTAGATGCCGGTGTCCTGCATGTGGACATGAAAATTGACGATAAAAATGTATCTGAAGGAGCGATGGCACTTTTACAAACTGTGAAACCCAGTTGGAAGAGCGAAGATGTGAAAATTAAGGTCTGATTTAACGGGCATTTTTATTTATTTGGCAACCAAGCTTACTTGCACTGCTGCTAGCTCACCTGTACATGCACAGACGTTGTGCGTTAGTGTTACTGTTCATATTATGTCTACCCCGATATATACTCGTAAGCGAAATTGACCTGCTACAGTGTTAAGAAACTGAGGGTCCGTGACTCAGACCCCCTCCCCTCCCCTCCTCCGTTAGATTTATACAGGTAATTGAGTTAGAATCTTTGGGCTCCATTCCCAGTGACACTGTCGGTCTTCAAAGATTGATCCAAATCTGCAGGGATCCACTAAAAGAAATCAGCTTAACTGAATGACACGCCTGGATGACTTCTTTTCAACATACGTACTGGTATAATCACCAGATTTCCCGTGTTCTTCTCAAAGCCAGGAGAGGAGGTGTGTTTATCTGTTAAGCTGTTTGCATTCAGTGAGAGTCCCCGCAGAGTTGGATCAATCTATGTAGACTGATTTAAGTGTCACTGGGTATAAGCCCTAAGATGAGGCTTACAGAACTGTTCAAGTCAGTGGGAACAAGGTGCTGTATTACAGTGGACTCTTGTACATGACAACTCTTGTACTTTGAAGTTTTAAGATGTATTTTACTGTGCTCATTGATGCATTTGAAGCAGGTTAACGTATCAAATCATTGGCACTTAACCCGATCAAATGACACCCTTATAGTTTCCTACAGCATAACTCGATCAGAATAATACCAATTGTGGATCATTGCATTCATATTTCCAAAAAAAAAAAAAAAAAAAAAATGTTATGAAAAATTATGATTGTTTGTTGCACATGCAGTAGTAACATGTCATATATTGCTAAGGTGTTTGGTGGATTTTTACAATCAGGAGGGTTGGATAAATAGCCAGGTCAAATTTACGGTAAATGGCTAGGTCAGATTTACGACCAGAAAGCTGATCTGACTTAGTGATAAATTTGGTGTATCCTTTGGCATGTGGACTTAATTGTTTGAGATGTAATTACAAGACACTGGTACTATAATAATAATAATAATAATAATAATTTATTAAGATTGCTAGTTACTAGTGATTTATATACTTTACAGGGGATCTATGTTAGCTTNTACATGGACGTAAGGGTATATAACTCTATTCAAGCAATACATGAAATACAAATAAGCCTGAAATGACAAAATTGTGTTCCAACACAGTTAGTGCTTTAGTCTTGACCTTCAACTACTGCCGTGCTGTTAACGTACTGCAGCCTTAATGTTTACGCTATCACAATAACAGTAAAACACACCTTAAAGTTACATAATCTATCAAATGCCAGTATATAACATATACCGTTTTACATCGAAGAAATCCAGCCCAAACTGCTGAACACATTCTTTTAGCCATTCTTTCCACCTTTCGTAATGTGCATCTGTGAGACGGCTTCACCTAGTCACCTTGACCTAAACATATCCGTCAGCTGTCTCGATATCAATGTAATTTTAGAATAATGTTTACTGGAAAACGAGGCTGCATGTTGTAAACACGGATTTCCCGGGATTTCCCACAATTTTTTAAATAAATAAATTAATAAATTATTTCCAAAATGATTTTATATAAAAATGCCCAACAAAGCGTATTTAAAATTTTGTCAGAGTATGTATTTTGCTAGTGAATAAGATAATATTGCACTATCGCCTTCATCGTGCTTGTCTTGTGACCTTAAAGCACTAGATCGTACCAATGCGGACTTGTTCAATTTATTCAGGGAGGATAGGGTTTAACGTACGATATTTTGCAAACAAAATAATGGGTAAAATTAGATCAAATGACAACAATTTGGCTTTCAATTTTTCATATATCTTTCAAACCATTACCGATATTCCTGGTTTGTCTTATCATCTTGGTATGCCTAAATGACTGCTTCTACAAATGTACTTCATCTTCCTATTTGCCTTTAGGAAAGGTTCATAGTTCAGGTCAACCGCATAGTTCATAGAAAAGATGTCTGAGCTAGAAGCCGGTGTCCTGCATGTGGACATGAAAATTGACGATAAAAATGTATCTGAAGGAGCGTTGGCACTTTTACAAACTGTGAAACCCAGTTGGAAGAGTGAAGATGTGAAAATTAAGGTCTGATTTAACGAGCATTTTTATTTATTTGGCAACCAAGCTTACTTGCACTACTGCTAGCTCACCTGTGCATATGTTGTACGTTAGTGTTACTGTCTATGTTATGTATACCCTGATATATAATCGTAAGCGAAATTGACCTGCCACAGTGTTAAGAAACTGAGGGTCCGTGACTCAGACCCCCACCCCTCCCCTCCCCTCCTCCGTTACATTTATACAGGTAATCGAGTTAGAATCTTTGGGCTCCATTCCCAGTAGTGACTCTGTCGGTTTTCAAAGATTGATCCAACTCTGCAGGGACCCACTAAAAGAAATCAGCTTAAATGGATGACATGCCTGCCCTTCTTTTCAACATACAGCTGGTATGATCACCAGATTCCCTGTGTTCTTCTCAATTAACACCAGGAGGAGGTGTGTTTATCTGTTAAGCTGTTTGCATTCAGTGAGAGTCCCTGCAGAGTTGGATAAATCTATGTAGACTGATAGTGTCATTGGGAATGAGCCCTAAGATGAGGCTTACAGAATTGTTCAAATCAGTGGGAACAAGGTGCTGTATTATAATTAATGGGCTCTTGTACATGACATCTGCCTTTACATTGTACTTTGAAGTTTTTAGATGTATTTTACTGTGCTCATTGATGCATTTGAAGCAGGTTAACGTATCAAATCATTGGCACTTAACCCGATCAAATGACACCCTACAGCATAACTCAGAATAATACCAATTGTGGATCATTGCATTCATATTTAAAAAAAAAAAAAAAATGTTATGAAAAACTATGCTTTTTGTTGCACATGCAGTAGTAACGTGTCATATATTGCTAAGGTGTTTGATAGATTTTTACAATCAGGAGGGTTGGATAAATAGCCAGGTCAGATTTATGGTAAATAGCTAGGTCAGATTTACGACCAGAAAGCTGATCTTACTAAGTGATAAATTTGGTGTATCCTTTGGCATGTGGACTTTAATTGTTTGAGATGTAATTACAAGACACTGGTACTAGTGATTTATATGCTTTACAGGGGATCTATGTTTGCTTCATATGTAATTTTAAGATTTATACACATTCAGCATGCCAACAGCCACAGGCAAAAGAGCCTGGGTACCATTAAACAGTATGCTACTCACGTATGCATGCACAGTACTTACAATGTGCATACATACTCATAATACTCCGGGCCCGTTACTCCCACAGTCAGTTGAAAAAAGACATCGTCAAAGTCAGCATTTTGATTCATATCATGTTTTAATTTTTAATGCTAAATGTAGCAGAACAGCACAGATTGCTTTGCTGTGGTATATGCTTGATACTTAACAAGTGTCTGTGATTCCATATGATTGGTGAAACCATTTCTGATCCTTTCATTTGGTGAACACAAATTCAGTGAATGCAAATTAATAATATACAATATGTAACAACAGAATAAACTAAATTTATGTTTTCAACATAACTGAACAATTCAAAGTTTCAAACTCAATGGCTGCAGCAAAAGCTGTCATGGTAGAACACAGTTGTTATTACATGTAAAGAAGGTAAACAGAAGATCATGTTATCATGATAATGGGTCATTACCATCAAGGTGCCACACATTTTCTACAATGTCTGAAAAGCATTAAACAAACTCTGTGTAATCAAAAAAATTATAATGAAGCAAAATCTGTACCATTTTAAATTTTACAGGTTTTCACAGATGGAATAACCAACAAACTTGTTGGTTTATACCTTCCAGAAAATCCTAGCGACACAGTGTTGGTCCGCATTTATGGACAAAACACAGAGCTGTTTATAGATAGAAAAAAGGAACTCCAAAATATGGTTTTGCTCCACAGCGCAGGGTGCGCTCCTGAGGTGTACTGCTCCTTCAATAATGGGCTGTGCTATGCATTTGTTCCTGGTATTGTTGGAAATAGAGATTTGGTCAGGGATGAGAAAGTCAGAAAGTGAGTTGTGCGCAGAGCTGTTTATGTTTGCGTGCTTGCATGTATGTGCATTGATACATGTGCATGCATTTAAGTTGCATTTATTTAATCACTTGAATTGCACATTTTAAATAACATTTGTGAATGTATAAAAAGAAGTCCCCAAGCTTATTTAAAGAATTGTATTTTTTGATGTTTAAAGGTTAATATATTAGAATGATTATCCTTGCTACTGTATTCAGTCGATTATTTAAGAGTTTGGATAATTTCATGATTATCTTATGTGTAGTTTTTTCTCAAAGTTTTGTTGCAGTTGCTTTTTAAGGAAGGCAGTAAATCAAATGAACCGAAATTTCCATCATGAAGTTTGACTTTCCATAGGCGATCACCATAGTTTATATAATGATCTGTTTTATCATAGTTATCCTAATGTTGATATTGTTGTTTACATATCTACTAGTACATGCAGTTATCTTATGGAAATTATGTACATGTATCTACCTTCAGATGGAAGTCACTCAATCAAAACAACAGAATTTTCCATCATGTACTCTAGTTTGACTTTCCAAAGATAATGAACAGTAGGTAAATAAACTCTGTGTTACAGTGTATCTATTCATGGTTGCTCGATGGTGCTGTTATATCAAACAGTGATTTTATGGTGATATGGGTATTTACTTTGTAGGTTAATAGCCAAGGAGATGAGTAGAATTCATTCCATCCAAAATGCAGGCAGCATCAATGATAAAAAAATAAAAATCTCACCAGAAGCTATGGTGTTCAAGAAAATCAGGTCCTGGTTAGAACTGGTGCCAGATCATCTTGACAATACAGAGCAGGATGAAAGGTTGGAAGACATCACATGAAAAAAAATATTGTTACCTTTTTGCGATGTGATGGAACTGGTATCTGTTGTAACTTAACATTTTTGTCTGACAAGGTACATTTTCCATAAACCGTAGTCCTGAATTGCTGCTCTTGTCGGTATTGTAAATTTTTGTCGGGGAACTTTTCTATAAATGGTTTGTATAGACATTCTCCTAGGGACAGCTTTATTTGACAATTAAGAATAAGATTTACAACTAAAATAAACAAATCTAACTGATATTTTATGTTTTATTCATTTATCCTAGCTTGGTCTTACATTTTGTGAACATGAATATGTATAAGTTTTTTTTTAAAAGGTAACAGGATACTGCTCACTATTTGAAATGACCTGCATATTGACTTACTGCTATTGATCTGTTCTGGGTTTGTATTTAATTGTTGTTTAATAAAAAAGATTAAATCAGATTACAGTAGCCTTTTTTTCAGAGAATTGATTCATGAAATATATAAATTTTTGCTCTTCAACTAGATATCAAAGAGAAATCAAGAAGAGGCATGAATTAGAAGCTGAATTGTCTGAGCTCCAGGGACCATTAGAGGCTCTTAACTCACCAGTGGTGTTCTGTCACAATGACATTCTCTGTGCTAACCTTGTGTATGATGCAAGTCAAGGTACTTAAGATAAGAGCATCATTGTTGTATTACAAATATTTTTGTGTGGTTTTCAGATTAAAAAAAATAATAAATTAAAAAAATAATTTGCATTGCTTAATATGCATTTTAGCAATGTATCTTTAATAGTTTTTTTAGATGGTTTTGATAAAATTTTAAACAAAGTGGATATCAACTTACTTTTGCATTAATTGCACATTGATAATTTAGATACAATGGTCTCAATTTTTAAAGTTAAGAAATCAATATATTGTGTCTCAAAAATTTTTTTTGTAGATTACTGTCAGTTTTTGACTATTTTATGCAATATCCACTGACTTTTTGAATATGTATATGCACATTTCATATTTAGATAAGGTAGTGTTCATAGATTATGAATATGCTGACTACAATTATCAAGCTTTTGATATTGGAGACCACTTCTGTGAATTTGCAGGTACTGTCCACTTTCCTTCCTCCCACTCTCTCTCTCCTTTGAAGTGAATATTACATATATGATAACATTTTTTTGTATTTTAAACAAAGTTACTGTTATGTTTTAGAGACTCCAAGCACTTTGAGAACTTTTTGGTGTACATAAAAAAGATAATAAATAAAAATAAAATAAAATGAAAATAAAAAGATTGCTTGAAGACTTCTAATGTACCTAAGAAAGATAATGATAAATAAGAATTAAATAAAATGAAAATAGAAAGACTGCTTGAAACTTTCTTGCTATAGTAGTTACACTGTCAGATTATTATTTTTTTAATGCATTTTTCATTTCCTCAGGGGTGGATGATGTTGACTACTCTTTATACCCTGACAAGGACTTGCAGCTGAAGTGGCTTAGAACTTATCTAGAATGTGAGAAAGAACTCAAAAATCTACCAGCAAGTGATGTGACTGACAAGGATGTAGAGATATTATATGTTCAAGTGAATAAATTTGCTCTTGTAAGTATATAAAATGTTTATATATTTGAATATAACAATTTACATCTATTAAACCTGTGGTGGTTCAATTGATCATGAGAATGCATTCAACTAAATGGCATGATATTCTAAAATTATTCTTTTTAATTCTTTGTGAAAATATAGAACAGTACTGTCATGCAGTTTTCTTTTTTCATTCAAAAAGCTCCACAAAAAGATCTTGCACCATAAATATTGCATTTTTACGAGTATAATGGTCCCCCTTTAATTACAGCTCGCCCATTTCTTCTGGGGAGTTTGGGCTATCCTTCAAGCAAGATTCTCAAACATAGAATTTGACTTTGTTCAGTAAGTTATATTTCTTAAACTATATTTGTTACTATTTTAATTAAAAAAACACTGACTATATCATTACAATATCAAACATTTTTACATTCTGTTGTTTTAACTGATTTTATGTGAAAAAGATAATGAAAATTTGAATAGTGTGTTTTCATGAGCATTCATCCTGGTAAAAAAACAAGTCGATTGTACTTTTATGTTATTCATAATTGATATCTATTTTATTTATCATGTTATCTATTTTAATTTTTAGATATGCAGCACAGAGGTTTGGGGAATATTTCAATAGAAAGCATGAATTCTTAGCTCTGAAACTTCCACAGTAGAAAAAGTGTATATCAAGCCTTAAAAAAAAAAAGATTGGTACAGATAATATCAATGGCAGAAATATTCTGTGGAACTCATGGGGAAAGCAGGTGCACTTGTAGATAATTAGAAGTAAAATTTGCACAAATTGTATAATGTTGTGATCATGGTGTACTGATACAAGTTTTCTTGTATAGTTTCTTGCACAAAAGCTCCATATGCTCATCATATCATACTGACATGGAAATCATATCCCTGGCCTCAATTATTTAAGACAGAATACAGGTACTTACAAACGCAACAATCAATTCTGCCGGCCATGTTCTACTATATAAAATACAATGCTGGCTCCACATTTCCAGTCTTGTTGACTGGAGTTCAGTCCAGATGACTCATCTCTGTAAACCATTTGAATACATTTGGCTCACCATAGTACGCCATTCTAATGACAAATGATTTCACTCCACGTAAGTTGTGTAGTGTGTGCATGTACTTGCATGCGTGCATTGGAGGCATATGTGCTTCCTACAGTGAACTGTTGTAATCATTTGAGATTCATATTGACTGGACGTTAAATATGCTGGCCTTATTGCACTGCATTTATTGTAACATTTATTTAGCTTCTACTTTAAGGGATATCTTTAGTTTATACATTTGGTGTCAAGTCTGTTTTGCACAATATACATATATACTGTTGAATGATTTGTACATTAATTGTTAAGATTTTGGATAATATTATTTTGTAGTGGTTTTATCATGTTATGTATATTTTAAAATCTTGGATAACTGTATATCGATGAGTTAATCAAATCATAAAAATGGTAACAAAATTTGTCCTACTTAAATCATAGAACTTCTGAAAGGATAACAAGGTATTTAGAGTTGTATAAATTGGACTTAAAAGGACTGTTTTTGATACTTCAGTGAATGATGGAAAACCATGATCATCTTGACATTTTTTTGTAATAAACAATATTGATAAAACTTAAGCATATTGTTTTTGTTGATTTTATTGGGCATTTTCCTGAGCTGCACTTTTTATTTCCACTTTGGACTTTAAGTAAAAGTAAGTTTGATGTTAATATTACACTTCATTAAAGACACTTGTCTTCTCCAAACAGAAGGGCAATGGTTGAACTGCACAAATATTGCTTTTTCTGCTTAGTTTTTCTAAGCTTATCTTTAACTGAATTAAGTTTGTCTTAGTTTCACGGTGTTGATGGTGACTTATTTTAATCTATTTTGTGCTCTTTGGCACCATTCAAGTAAACTATTATGGAAATAATACAGTTTTTAATTGAATGTGAATCTCCAATTAGGATGAATTAAAGGTGCTCAGTACCGACCTTTGACCCTCCTTTCCTGATGCTAGCCATAAGTCTGTAGTAATTCTGGGGAAATTAGAAAGCCCTTATCCTACACTAGAGGGCGAGTCCTATAAATTCTGCCATACATTTGAGGACTGACATTCATGTTGTGCGCAATTCAAAACTATCAATGAAGATAGTCGACAGGTAGCAAGGTTGGTCAGGATGTGACATATTGGACTATTTTTTGGCAGGATACATGGTATATCTGTTAAAATGGGCAAAAAGTAAAACTTGCCATATCAGTTCAACAAGAATATATATATATTTTTTTTGCTTAATGTGTTTAAAATAGTACTCTTTTGCCCTGTATCTGTATTTTTTAATTGAATATTAGAAATACAAGATCTCACAGGGGACTCATATGGTTATTATAAATGCTGCTGAAGGTATATTGTGGTTGGTGTGCCTGTGTATAGCACACATTCATGGTATTAGTATAACACATGACTCTAGAACTTGTGAACCACAATATCAGTGAGGTTTAAAACAAACATGTTTTGCAGATGTGGATTATTTTTTTAAAAAAAAAGTTCATTTTTTGTTTGCTGTAAGTAGTTGGTTCATCACTGTCCTAACAACTTTATCTAGTATAGTATAATTACCAAAAAATTAGGTAGATTCATTATCATGGAATACAAAAAGAATTACATAACAGAACTGAAATCAAAACACCCACTCTTTTATTAAACTATGCTGCATGAAGCAGGCTAATGTGTTTGGGGTAATTTCTCAAAGTGTGATATGTTAGACTACAGTCTATATATTTTTTAATCTGTACAACTGAGCAACTGAAGATAAGGTGAAAATTAAGAAAAACAAATGTTGGCTTGCATTATATAGCTTACTGTCAATTCATACCAGTATTTTCCTCATTCCTACTGAAGGATGGGACTAAATATTTTTATGACTTTTTTCTTAGATACGACTTTTTTCTAAGATACGAAATCAAGCACAGTTGGAATAAGTGCTTGTTGTGTTATTACAGCTCATTATAGCACAATGTGTGGGGGAGGGAGAAATAAAATCTCACTATATCAGAAATTAAATCTTACTTTATCAGAATACCATATTTCATTTCACAATCTAAGATCTGGGTCCAGCCTGTACCAGGACCTATTGCAGTAATTGAGCACATGCGAAATCCATCAAGTTTCCAGAACAAGCTGGCAGCTGCTTTTGTTGTGAATTTATATGCTGTTGTTTTGTATGTCCTGACTCCAACTCTGAGGCTGGAGTAGGATGGGATGTGCTTTGTGGGGATCTCTACCCAACCCAAAAAATTATCACTGAGATATGAAAGAAATGTGAAAAACTGGATTGTTTAATAGCAAAATTATGTAAAACAATTCCACTTGGAGGTCATATTTCAAATGAGGTTATCGTGAAGGTGGTTTGGTGATAAATGAAGTCAGAAATCGTAATTGATGGCTTATGTGCTGTCTTATCTTAAAGAAGAATGGTAAAATATTGAAAACAGGATTGTTAAAAGCATGATTCAGTTTTTATTAAACCTCAGATGATGAACTGATGATATTAAAATTTCATTTTAACTGTATTCATACAAGTTAAGGATGTTTCTGATTACTGATTTAATCATCTTTTCTCTCAGTTAGTGTTTGCTGCTCAAAACATTATGAAAATGTTAGGACAGATTTTAAGCTGAAAATGAATTTTTGATGGTTGGCACACATGGACACCCCCATAAGGGATTTGATGCAAAATGATACCTGCCATGTACAGTGTGAGAGTCAGCTGACACTTCCTCAGCGTGTGTAGACAGTATTTAAGCTGGGAAACAGAAGTTGTTTGCTGCCAACTTGCCTCTTGTTTTATCAGAAGGGTTCACACTGTGTGCTTTGTGCAGAAATCATTCAAGCCATTCTGTTTTGTTTGAGACAAGGGCAAAACAAAGACACCACTTGGACACTTTATTAAACATCATTAATTTTAAACTTTTTTCTTTTCGGGCAATAGTTCTAAAGTGTTAGACTTGGGACAGTTGTACAACTCCAAGCTTTTGCACCTACTATGAATACCAGCATCTTGTCTGTGTTAATTCTAGTTATTTTGGTGGGAGTTAACTGCGGATTTCGGCCACGAGGCTCATTTCACAGTGATGATGGAGGCTGGGATCCAGATAACTGGATGAAATGGATCCGCAACTCTGAGCGCCGTGATCGTGAACGAGGAAACAGAGGGAACAGAGGGGAACAGCCAGGAGAGTTGGACGAGGATGAACTTGCACCAGAACTTTTTATACCTACAATAGAACCGCTGCCTTCTACTTCAGAACCAGATGTGAACTTCAACATTAAAGTTGGTGGACTTAAGTGAGTATATTGTCTTTTGATTTTTTTGGAAATTTTTGGATATGTCATTAAATTGTGGTAATGACTTTTCATTGAAGTCATTCCCACAATTTAATATTAAAATAATTTTGTGCCTGATTTAATTGTTTTTCAAATTGATTTCAATCATGTGGTGACATGAAAGTTGATATCTACTTCAGAAAGTGAATATATATACAATATGAATTTGTGGAATGGTGATTTTCATTACATCTTGATTTGTGTACATGTGACTTGTGTAGATGTATATAGCCTTAACTAAATTTGCTCTTTGTCAATCTCTGAAGTTTGCAAGTATCATACATTATGAACCAATTGGCTTTAATAAGACTTCTTGCCAAAACTTTTTTAACTTTCATAAGTTAATTTAATCAACATATGTTTGCCAATATGTTGTTCAAAAATTAAATTTAATTTAATTAAAAAAAAATGGAAGAATATCCTGTAAGCATGAGGTCCACATACATTTCTCAGTTGGCCACAAAACAAACGTTCAGTCACGTGCTGTCCACTATATGGTAGGTTGGTATAAACATACCAAAAGTGTTTTCATGGAATATGTTCTTGTGATTGAGAAAACAGACAGACTTAATTGGAATATGTGATCATAAGCACTTTACAATACTGGTAAATGTTTCAGCACTCTTAAACACTGCGCCACTTTGATCGTTGCTTTCTAAATTGATAATGGCTTGTGCTGTTTTTGTTTTTTCAACCCTGTAAAGTTTCTCAAAAGAATGCCTATGTTAATTATGCTATTTCAGTAAATGTTGTGGCAATGTGGCAAACTGCAGGAATATGCATTGGCTATCCATTGACAACATTTAGTTGCTTATTGTAACCTTCATTTAGAAGCTATGTAATTGCAGTTGCAAATGACCATGATGTTTCAAAACCTTATGTAATATTCCAATGCAAGTTTTCAAAATAGTTGTGTCTTACTGTTCCTTAATAGTCAATGTTGATTTGATTTAACTTGGTAGAATCAGAATTTGATTGTGTTAAACCTTTATTTTATTTTATACATTTTACTTTTTTGCAGAAATTGAATATTTAGTCTTGATTTGATTAAATTTGGTAGAGTGTTAAAGCAGCTTTGTACTGGTATATTTTCTATTTCTTCCTTTTCAGCCTGGGATGGGATGGTATTTTTTCACAACATGAAGGGAAATGGCCAAATATCTTTAGAAGAATATTTAGTGGTCCACCAAAACCCTGGTGGAAAGGGTGAGTTTAAGGATATGTTTTGAACTTTTTTTTAAATTAGAGGATTTTGCATCTGAAATACTTTCTTTAACTGCAGTACTTGTAATATGGTCAACTTATTGTATATTATACAATAGAATGTAGAATAAAAAAAAACGCTAGACCTAATATTAGTAATATAAAAGATTTCATAATATGTTTTGTAATATATACCGGTATGTATTATTCCTTTGTCACTGACATATGAATACAAAACCGCTCTACACAAAAAAAAAGAAAGAAAATTGTGTCCAAAATTAGTTTGAAAGAAGTTTGTGAACAAATAACATCCGTATGTTTGAGAATATCTTGTGCTTTATTCACAGCACATTAGTGGGAAACTTAAGTAATTACACAATTGACTATTTTTGGAGTTTTTCTATTAGGAGCTTAAAAAAAAAAACAATTGCGAGTTAGTTAGATGATATTAGTTGTTATTTTAATATAGGAGTTCAACAAATTTAAGAATTGCAAATTTTTAAGTGTTGGGGTATGTCTTCACACTTTGTTTATCATAGTGTATACACATGCGAACATGGGTAATATCAAAGCTAAGAACACACACTTGGGTATAAGGGCAGTTATCCAATGAAACTTCAATGGGTCCTTATCAAATTTCAGTTATAAGACAATAAGCCTATTGTATATCATGTGAAAAAAATTATCCAAATATTAAACATTTTGATATATAAGAAAATAAACCAAAACAAAGTCCTCTAGTTGATATAAATGATTTTCAGAGGCAAACAAATAAAAGTGTTGAGTTGTTTTCCCTTTGCTTCTTTGAAATAAAAACACCAACACAAAAAGATTTAAGTCCAGTATTCAAGTTCTCTGCTTCTAGTAATCTTAACCATTGCAATTTTTTAGACCTAATGTGTGTGTGACCAGAGAAGAGAGGAATGAGACTGTTCCAGGTATTGTGACTCACCATCGAGTGTTTGCCAACTCCTACTGTGACGAAACAGAAACATCATACAAGTGCACTACAGAGTAAGAAAAACTTGTTCACTTATAGTTTCTTAACATATTTTTTATTTGTTTTATTTGTCATCAAAACTATTTGTTCTATCTTGCATTCATTTATTGATTTTGATTCTTTCTCATGCCTTCTTTTTTTTCTTGGTCTCTCACTCTTTTACTTTCTATTTAATAGTATGCATCATTTAGTGAGTATTAAAGCATGCACTCTGACCACTGGGTTATAGTAGTCTATTACAAAATTATTGTATGGTATACTTAAATTTTGTATACTATTTTAGAGACCCCTGATATCAGAGGGTAATAAAAGCACAGGAAGAACTGTATTCTGCTATCTTGTCTTCAAAACTATAAATTAACTCCAGCAAACTGATCTGGCTTCAATTCAAGCATTATCGTCTATGAAATTGCATTTCACAGCGTCACAGTCTACGGTATCAAGAGGTCATTTGTTGTTACCTATGAATGTTGCCATGGTTTTGAAAAACCAGCAGGGGCATCTGGATGCACTAAGAGTATGTATAAATTCTTGATGTTAGCAATATCATTATGTATTATTAGGAACCTATATGATGCTAGATTTTTTCTCTTTTAAACTGTTGTCTTATGTGAGATTACCAGTACTTATGGTTCAGAACAAACAAACAACAAAAAAATGAATGAAATAATAACCAGTTTGATCTTTTTGTATTAATTCCTGTTCATTCGTAGTATTTTATTTTCATTGCACAAAAAGGAAGAGAGAGACTTCTTTCCATATTATTAAGCAATTTGAGAAAAAATTAAATAATATTAAGCAATTTGAGAAAAAATTCAGTGTGTCTGTAAATTGTGAGTTCAAGGGGGAGTAGAGCAAGTGCTGCCAAACAATAACATACCAGTGCATCTGCCATTTCAGTGCAGAAAAAATAAGATCTGGGTGGTTGAACCCCCCACCACCCCCCACCCCACCCCCTCAAATTCTGTCAAGAAAAGTTTCTCTTTTTTATCTGAAAGTTTACTTTCTGCCACATGGGATTGTCACTACATCCCTGTCACATTTGAATAAAAAAACAACAGTTTATAAATACTTCATTCTGTTTCCTGTGGAGAGTTTTAACACAACTGACTGTGCTTTTAAGTACATGGTTAAAAAAAGAAGGCCTAAAGATTTCTTGAAAAAGAGAAGAACGAATGTATAAAAAAGTTTTGAGTGTTTTCAGAAGATCAGTGCCTGACTTAGAAATGCTAGTTCTATTAGTTAAATGTATTTAATTGGGATGAACATCATATCAATTTTTTTTAAATGGCCATTTACATTTGAATATTTCACTTTAAAAATGAAATGTTCTAACATTCTCTATAGAATATATAAGTTCCAATTTATACTAGTTTTTTTTTTATTTCAAGAAAAACTACATTTTGTCACTCTGAGACCTTTTTTTTTAATAGAATTAGTACTGAAGAACTTGGTGGAGACTGCCAGAGATCTGGACTCAGATGAGTTCTTAAGGGCTGTGGACAGTGTTGGTCTAACAGATACCTTGAAAGTTGAAAATCTAACATTGTTTGTACCAACCAATGAGGCTATCAAGGCATACCTGGAGAAAGACTCACAGGTAATTATACTTACTGTATCCACTGACACACTAAGGATTTATACTTCCTCCGAAAATTTGGGGCGGGGGGAGGAGGAATCTAGGAAGGACATTCTCTTACTTTCATTTAACATATTTGCATGCATGCAAAATGCAAAAAATAAATAATTAATAATAATAATAAGAATAAGAATAAGAATAATAATTAAATATTAATAATAATAATGTAATGTAAGAAAAGCTTAATAGTGTTTCCTGTATCACTGTTGGCCCCCTGGTTAAGTCAATAATACTCTTCACTGTAAATTGGTTTGCTTTCTAGCATAAATACTATTTGAAATTAACTTTGGGTTCTTTTAAGTTTTATAAACAAAACCATTTTAAAATTAATGCTTACTAGGCTCATGTTTTTTTGCTTAAGTTGATTTCATATTATAATCAACAGGAACTAAAGTGCGTCAAATGCTGTATCAGATCAAGGAGTTACAACTGTTGTAACTCCTTGATCAGATGTTTTTTTATGAGAGAAAGATGGCTGTATAGATACTGCATTTGGTACTTCACCCTTTTCACTGATACAGTTTTACTTTTGGTTAGAAAAATAAATTCTAATAGAGAATTGACTCTTAAAGATGCTGTTTTAGATTATCTAACAGTTTTTTATAGATGAAGATTTATTGGGTGTATTTGGCAAGAGAAATGTTTGTCAGATGTTTTTAAGTGGAAAAAAGCAATTTTTTTTTGGTTTCATTCCGGCATGTGTTCTTTATAAACCTTGTCTTGCAATAAAAAGGCCCATAGTTTTCAGACATCTGGACCTTTCTACATGCAAAAGGTTGCAGTGACTTAATGGCTGCCATCCAATCCTTTCTTCTTGAATAACATCCTAGCTTAAAAACATCTTATGAAACAACCATGAGTCATTTGTCCAAAATCCAACACTGCTTGCAATATTAGGAACCTTATGTAAGTAAAAGAGGTTTAAGGAAATAACATGCTAACTTTTGAATTGGCTTATCAGAAACAAACCATTGCAGCTCCTAATACAAATATATATACTTTCTCACAGTCCTAGAAATAAAAGTTGTTATTGGAAAAGTTTCAAAATTTAATCAAATTTAAGCAACGCACTCTATCAAATTTAAAGAAAAACTATAGTAAGATATAAAAGTAAAAGGTTGCATGTTTCAGAAGCTTCTCCCTGGTGTTATATTAGTGGACGGGACCCTTGCAGAGATGGCCAGTGACCTGCGGGCAGTACTTGAGGGCCATGTGGTGCCTGGCTTCCTGAAATCAAGCAACTTCACTGATGAGAACCTTATCAGTACAGTGCTGCCACCTGTCAAGTTAAGGACCAACCTTTATGATGTGCCACGCAGGGTAAGATGAGGACACATCCCAGTTAATTCTGATAAAACCAATACTATTTTCTTAATTTTAGACAATTAATTATGACTTCTTTCATCTTTAAACCTTACAAATACATTATCATAAAGATTTACATAAAAGTTTTCATTTACAATTCCATTTTATAAGTTTTTTGTACACGTACACTTAACCAGTCAAATAACAACTCATTTCAATTTTAACTTTTTTGTGTGCTTTATGCAATAATATTAAACTTCACAATTTACTGCAAGCTTTATACAATCCATTATTTACTACTTTCCAGTTAACCACCATCAACTGTGCCAAGGTGCTGTCATCTGACCACCAAGCCATCAATGGGGTCATTCACAAAGTGGACAGGGTCCTGAAGCCAGCCACAGATACTGTTATGGATATTGTTAGCAAGAACCCAGAACTTAGCTCACTCAAGACAGGTACAATATAAGAAGGACAATTTTTTGTACATGTATATATTTTGCTGAATTTTGGGTAATCTACTGCAAATTTATTTGATGTTATTTGAAGTTAACTCTGAACTTAAAGTTATATTGACATCCATAACTTTAGGAATGAATTGTGACTTTCAGTCCTTGGCAGTGCTGGTCTGGTGTCCACTTTGAAGACTCCTGGTCAGTTTACCCTATTTGCACCAACCAATGCCGCCTTTGCCAAGCTGCCCCCTTCAGCCAGAGAGAAACTCATGAAAGGGGAGAACTGTTTGAAAAGTAAGAAGATATTATAAAATGACTCTCAAATTTTGAATTTTTCTTTAATATTTCACACACTTTTTATGTACATGTGTCTAAGTTAATTTTATAAAGAACCATATTATTATGGGATGTTGTAAAATAAGATGCGTCTAGAGTGACAGAAAAGCTTTAGAATACACAAATTATTCACAAGTTTTTTTTCTTAAAAAAAAGATGTCCTGAAGCACCATGTCCTGTCCAATGTCATCTGCTCTGGCATAATGCAGGGGAAGATCAAAACACGTAATATAATGGATGACTTTGTCAACATCACTCGAGATGAGAATGGCAAGGTGTTTGTGGATGGCACAGCTCAAGTGGTGGCCACTGACATCATGGGGAGTAATGGAGTGGTGCATATCATTGATGCTGTAATTGTGCCAGACTCTGGTATATTTGGTTAATTAGCTTACTAAAATACAAAAATGAACATTTCACTATGAAATTCTAATATATATTTATCTTTTAAATGTTAAATTGATTAATTTATTTATTATTTTCATAAAGACTAAATCTCTTTCTATTTCTTGAAAACTCAATTTCACAAGGATTAGTAAAAACTGCCCTCTACCAGATTGATTTTTCACTAGATATGTCAGTCTNCACTTAACCAGTCAAATAACAACTCATTTCAATTTTAACTTTTTTGTGTGCTTTATGCAATAATATTAAACTTCACAATTTACTGCAAGCTTTATACAATCCATTATTTACTTCTTTCCAGTTAACCACCATCAACTGTGCCAAGGTGCTGTCATCTGACCACCAAGCCATCAATGGGGTCATTCACAAAGTGGACAGGGTCCTGAAGCCAGCCACAGATACTGTTATGGATATTGTTAGCAAGAACCCAGAACTTAGCTCACTCAAGACAGGTACAATATAAGAAGGACAATTTTTTGTACATGTATATATTTTGCTGAATTTTGGATAATCTACTGCAAATTTATTTGATGTTATTTGAAGTTAACTCTGAACTTAAAGTTATATTGACATCCATAACTTTAGGAATGAATTGTGTCTTTCAGTCCTTGGCAGTGCTGGTCTGGTGTCCACTTTGAAGACTCCTGGTCAGTTTACCCTATTTGCACCAACCAATGCCGCCTTTGCCAAGCTGCCCCCTTCAGCCAGAGAGAAACTCATGAAAGGGGAGAACTGTTTGAAAAGTAAGAAGATATTATAAAATGACTCTCAAATTTTGAATTTTTCTTTAATATTTCACACACTTTTTATGTACATGTGTCTAAGTTAATTTTATAAAGAACCATATTATTATGGGATGTTGTAAAATAAGATGCGTCTAGAGTGACAGAAAAGCTTTAGAATACACAAATTATTCACAAGTTTTTTTTCTTAAAAAAAGATGTCCTGAAGCACCATGTCCTGTCCAATGTCATCTGCTCTGGCATAATGCAGGGGAAGATCAAAACACGTAATATAATGGATGACTTTGTCAACATCACTCGAGATGAGAATGGCAAGGTGTTTGTGGATGGCACAGCTCAAGTGGTGGCCACTGACATCATGGGGAGTAATGGAGTGGTGCATATCATTGATGCTGTAATTGTGCCAGACTCTGGTATATTTGGTTAATTAGCTTACTAAAATACAAAAATGAACATTTCACTATGAAATTCTAATATATATTTATCTTTTAAATGTTAAATTGATTAATTTATTTATTATTTTCATAAAGACTAAATCTCTTTCTATTTCTTGAAAACTCAATTTCACAAGGATTAGTAAAAACTGCCCTCTACCAGATTGATTTTTCACTAGATATGTCAGTCTAGTTCCTGAAACAATTTTCTGGAATTCTCGCACGACTGAAAAGTGCACAAAATTAATCTGCAGACCTGGCCTGCTGGAGGATAAGTAACACAATTTTCTTTGATTAGGCTTGAGTGTGCTAGATGTGTTAGAGAAGCAAGGTGCTTCACAACTAAAACAACTGGTTGAAAGTGCAGGCCTTGCAGCAGATTTGGAGAGGCTGACCAATTTCACCCTCTTTGCTCCAACTGATGAAGCTATTCAGGTAATAACTTCAAATGTGTCAATTATGAATTATGATCTAAATTCTCAATAATTGCACACAGTATTTAGCATTTGGAATTTTTCATTAAAAATTATACCATAGTGTTCTGTGTCTGAACAAGGAGTTATAACAGATAACTCCTTGGTCTGAAATAATGTCAAATTCTAAATCATATAGGGCAAATTGTAGATTACGCTAAAGACACAAATATGCACAAAATGTTATTAAATTTTAAAGTCTATCATGAATACATGCACAAATTGAATTTCCAGAAACTTCCCAGAGATGTCAAAGAAAACCTGCAGCGTGACAGGTCTGCCTTGAGGCAGCTGCTGAGATACCATGTGGTCACACCTCGCTTGGGTTGTGCTGACCTGAGAGGTGGCCAGAATGTTACCACCGTTGACCACACTCCAGAAGTGCCCAGCACCATACAGATTGGAGAGTATGCTGCGGTGAGTTTTATTCTGGGGGCTAAAATTGTCTTCTATTTAAATGCATACTGAAAAAGTAAAAACAAAAAACAAAAAAACACTGAATAGATTGTGAATTATAATAAGCATATGAAGTGTTTTATGTCTTTAGATTAGATTTAAGAGAAAGTTTTTTGTTGAGATATAAGAGTTTTTTATTACTCTGAGTAACGTTTGGAAAAGAAAACAGATTTTCCACTACTAAAACTGTACCTTGATTAGGACTGTTAAATGTTTTTGATATCATTATAATGCTTAAGAATTGTTTTAGTAAAATTGCATCTGTAGTCTGCATAATAATTTTAACAATATGTAAATATACCATTAAGCACTTAGACTTTTAATTTTCACCATAGTTTCCATTTGGTGGGGCCTACACAAAGACAGCCCAGTGTGCACCCATTGCAAAGACTGACCTCTCTGCTTGCAATGGTGTCGTCCACTTGCTTGACCAGGTAATGACACCTCCCAAAGAGGACATGTTCTCCTTCCTCCAAAAAGATGCCCAATACAGTCGCCTGGTGCAGCTGATCACTAGAGCTGGTTTAGAGGATACTTTGAGAAGAGGTCAGCTGACCATCTTTGCCCCAACCAATCAGGTAATATGTTTTTCTTTGATGTTTTTAGTAATTTTGCAGATTCTGTTTTTTTAATCATTTTCCCTTTCATTTTTTTTTTTTTTTTGTGATCATTGATTTTTAGATACTCGTTAGCATATCTGATGACTGTAACTCTGGCTGCCAGTGTTTTGTGCATTATCCAGTACTATTAGTGCAGATACACCCTAACGAAAAAGTCCTATAGGATCCTATAAGATCCTATAGGATCCTATAGGAAATTGGGCCAATTTCCTATAGGATCCTATAGGACATTTTCGTAAGGGGCATGCATTATAATATAGTTTTGCATCAAGTAAATGTAAAAATAATTAAACCAAACAAATTCCAGGCTTTGCGATATGTTGACGGAGACTTGCTGGAGGACCCTGAGGAACTGAAAGCTCTTATTCAGCGCCATGTTTTGCCAGGTATATAGATGACAAGGGTTATAATTGTAAATAGATAGGATATTCCAAACATTGCCCCATTTAAAAAGAGTGTTATTTCGGAAATTTTACTGAAATGTACATAGTCTGTAAATTCTTATTTTTAAAGCAGAACAAGAAGTGTTTAACATAATAGTGATATCACCATTTTTATAACTATATGGTACTTATACATTATTTCAATCATTCCAGAGGTTCTGTGTTGTGCTGGCATCTACAAAAGGAGTTTCTTTCTTCGCCAGCAGGTGGAGACACTGGGTGGCTCCTCCCTTAACTTAAATCGTAATCGCAACGGCACACCAGTTGTGGAGGATTCTTACATCACATCATGTGATCAGTCAGCAACCAATGGGGTGATTCATACTATTGACCGTGTGCTCACCAAAAGGAGTTCTGGTTGGCTTGGGAAAAAATAGGAAAAATATGGCTGGTGTCCAAATGATTTATAACAGCTTGAGAAGGACACACACTGCAACTACATAAAGAACAATTACAGGACATGTTATGAGATAAAGTAAAATGACACCATGAAAAACTAAATGTATTCAGGAGAATCATTTACTGGCCAATTCATTTATTCTAGCTAGCATGTAAATTCCTTCATCATTCCAGCTTCTAATGATATGATATTGAATAGAAGCATCAGAATATTGTAAAGGAATTGTAGACAATCAGCCACATACTTAGTTTATCTCATCTTGAAACTCAAGTTTTGAAACTTAAAAACTTCACCTTAAGACTATGCAGAGAGACCAGACTGTTGAAACAGATTTTACACCAATGTTTAAATTCCATACAAGGAACACAAAGGTGAAAAGTGAAGTGAAGCAAACATTGAAAGCTACATGAAATGGACCTGGTACAGTAATAGGTGAAAAGGGCAGTTTCTTTTTAGTGAGCAGGTCTTACTTTTATTGAAAGGTGCTACAAATTCAATATATAATAGTAACAATATTCATATATATGTATTATTATCAATTAACTGTAGCAAATAAAGCAATTTTTAAAATTTATAGCAATATGGAAACTTAATTGCCTTTCATCATTATTTACATTAAAATAAAAATAAAAGATGTTTTCACAAATTATAGAAAAATTACACTCATTTTTACAGAAATTAGTCTTTACAAATATTTTTCCTAACTCAACATNGAGTTGTATTTATTTGATAACACTCTAACTCTCCCTCTAAATATATTAAGTACTGAAAAAATATTAGGTAATTAAAAACCCACAAAACCCTAATTATATGCTTGAATCATAAAACACAGTGAAATATAAAACATACTGTTGTGGCCTTAAAAGTATGCCAACTGGGTCACTGATAAGACAACAATTATAAATCTGTCCAACACATAGATTCATTGTTCATTCCCTGCAACTGGTTTATTGATAAGACAAGATAACTGCTCTTCATACCAGTAGAACAGTTCACTCCACGCCCCCAAGATGGCTACAGCTCATGTAAGCAGAGATGTCAAAGAAAGCCTACAGGTCAAAATAGCTGAACATTTTGTCACCTGTCCATTATGCCTTGAGGAGTACAAAGATCCGACAGATTTACCATGTAGGCATACATTTTGTAAGGGTTGTCTGAAGGACTATATTCCTGACTTAACACCAGGAAGTAAATTCCAATGTCATGCATGTCAGAAAGAAACTGAAGTTCCTAAAGATGGACTTGAGGGCTTCTCTCATAATTTCTTCATTGAAAGCTTGCAGGATACTGTACTTCAGTCACCACATAAGCAAAAATGTAGCTTTTGTGCCTTGTCTTTTAGCACTAAAACAGTAGCTACTTCAAAATGTATCACCTGCCATGACTACCTACCTGTATGTGAGAAGTGTTCCCCATTACACTGTGGTACCAAGTTCACAAAAGACCATAGTGTTCACTTTCCAACAGATGCAGAGCAAAGAGTACCAAAAAGAGATCCAAGAGCAGCAAAAGATTTTCTGCCCAGAGCACAAAGATGAGAGGATAAGATACTTTTGTTCAGACTGCAATGTCCCCATTTGTCGTGACTGCAGAGATCTACACCATGATGGCCACAAACTTATCTCCCTTGAAAAAGCTGCAGAAATTGTAAAACCAAAACTTCAGACCAAATCTCTTGGCATACAGAGAAAACTTGCAACTGGTGAAAGAAAGTTAGCTAAAATAGATAAAACTTTGGCAAAACTACAAGAAAATGAAAGCTGTGTTCAGCAGCAGATAAAAGCTCGTGCAGCTCACCTACGTCAACTGATAGAGCAACGAGAGAAGAGATTACTACAGGAGCTTCATCAAACCATGAGCACTCACAGAAATAATTTGCAAATTTCCCACAAGAACTGCAGTGCCATTTGCTCCTCCATCAAGACCACAACAGATGTAGTAAAAAACATCCTTCAGCATGGTGCCCCCATAGATGCCCTCATGTTACAACACCAACTTGGACAGAGACTAGATGAGCTACAGTCCACTTCAGCTGTGGAAGAAATGCCTGATGAAGTAAATCTCACATTTTCCACCAACACAGAAGTGGACCAAGAGATATCCAGTGGGGCTGGTCTGGGGAATGTGCAGGTATCTAGACAACCAGCTTTGCCCAAGATCAAACCAAAGGCTGAATCTAAGCTGGAGTTTGACACTGGCATTACACCAATGGACATTTCAGCAAGTCCAAACAGGGAGTATGTTACTACACATCTCATAGATAATGAGGTCAAGCTTTTTAGTTCAGATGGTACATTTAAGAAGAAGATCAACAGTGTCTCAGACACGCAGCTGAAAAGTCCAATAGAGATCTGTCACTTCCCTGATGGAAGGATGGTTCTATCTGATAAAGACAATAACAAAGTGTTCATAGTGTCACCACAGTGGAAAGTACAGCAAACTGTAGATATCAACAACCCATGGGGTGTGGCTCTCAATAACAACTGCACTAAGATTGCTGTGGCACAGGGTAGAGTAAAGTCTGTGAGTGTGTTCAGTATTGATATTAAAGGGAAAATAACTTTAACTGATGTGATAAAGGACAAAGATGGGAAACAGTTGTTCAATGCGCCATGTGAAATGGCATTTATGAGCAATGGGTGCCTTGTTGTCAGTGATACATCACCAAACAAACTTCACATCCTAACCCCATCTGGTGACCAACTTTATCAGTACACAGGACCTGATAATCAGTTAGGTCGACCCTTTGGTGTTTGTGTTGACGAATATGACAACATACTGGTTACAGATCATGATAACTACTGCATACACCTCGTATCCCCAGATGGGAAGTTCATCCAGTATATAGCAACCAAAACTGATGGACTATATGAACCATGGGGATGTACCATCAACCAGGATGGGGATCTGGTCGTAACTCTACCGAATGGGACTAAACTTGGTGGGAAAGCGAAAGTATTCCAATACTTGGAAAATGACATGCTTTAAAATGCCCAGAAACTGAACAACCTGTGGTTTGGTTTTCTGGTGTATTTTATTTTCTATAGCAGTGATTTTATGGCTGAATTACATTTCATAAACCTATTTATAATCAATTCATGCCAAAGTTTGGTGATAAAAAAATTTAACTATTTTATCCCCAATGAGAAAATACAGAAGGACATTTTGTAATGTATGAAGTACAAGAAAAAGAAATCTGTTATATAAAAACTATTTTTTTTTTCAGCTTAAAATGATGAAATACTCAGAATATGCAGAAGTGAAAATGATAGGTATGACTGATGAGTTAAGTTTGGTAGTAAAAATTAAATGCCTTGTTGGTGCATATTTTTTCTTTTCTTATTAATAAATATAAGCTATATAATTTTTTTGTTTCATAAACTAGCTTTATTTGCTCTGAAATCATTAAGATGATATGTTAGCATATCCCATTTGATGCATTCAGAGCATGTCCGTAAGAATAAAAAATACAGAAAATGTACAGAACTTCAGGTACATGTAGATGGGAGTTAAAAGTCACATTTTGAAAATCCAGCTGTATTAACATGATATGAATAACCCCACTGAGTTTGAGGATAATAAGGCACTGCTATTCATGTATAGCATTAATGTTGGCATTATATAAATTTTCTTCTTTTGTAAATTTATTTGCAATATTAAACAACATTTACCTGCATAATTATCACCAATTCCTTATTATGTGACGCTGTTAATTTAGAATTGCACAAACTGTATCTGGCAGAGAGCTAAATTGATGGGAGTTTACAGGGAAATCTCAGCATGTGTGTTTCATGTTATCTCATTAAATTAAAGCAATAATAACTCTTCCTTTGAGATTCAAAAATCCGCAAGAAATACATTGCAAACAATGTATGGAAATATATTCTATTGCATTTTACCACTAAAACAGCCGTTATTGTAGTAAAACTAAAATCTGTGCTTGTCAGTAGGGCTTTCGATGCCTTTCTTCCCGGTCGTCAAGGCATTTGTTGCCAATGACGTTTGGGTGTCACGCGGATTCTCGCGTTCATTCAAGACCAAAATAACATTTGGTGCCAAACGCTAGTGCAGTCCGCAGACGTAAGTATCGAGATTTTGTACAGTGCGTCAGATAACGAACAGCCCAGAATGGCACACATTGTGGATATAAATGCATTTTTAACAAAAAGATGAATATATCTCATGAATCTTATATAATTGTTATATAGGTATGTTAAACTGCAAATTCAACATCAAATTTTAATTATGCTCAACAGGTAATTCCAATGTAAGTAAAATGTGTAACAAGCATAAGGCTTCAGCCCCATAGGAGTTCAAGTTCACACTTTGAAAATGTATAACTTCCAGANTTAATTAAATAATAAGACTGTTAACATGCCTAAAAATTGAATTTGAGGAAATGTGAAAAAACAGTATGACTTCTAAAACAATGGCCCAATTATACTCATTTTCAAACTCAACCTGCATTTTAGTAAGATTGACCACTCCTGTGAGTTTAATGACAATTGGTCTATCTGTTTTTCTTATATTGTGTTTACAGTGTTGCATATATGCTAAAAAGTGAAAAAACAGCATAACTACTAAAATAGTGGCCCGATCATGCTGATTTTCGAACTTGACCTGCGTTTTAGTAAGATTGATTACTCCTGTGAGTTTCATGACAACAGGCCTATCGGTTTTCCTTAATATGTGTTTATAGGGTTGCATATATGCTGAAAAATGAAAAAACAGCATAACTTCTACAATAATGGCCTGATCATGCTGATTTTCAAACTTGACCTGCGTTTTATGAATATTCATCAGCTCTGTAAATATAAAGCCAAAAAGTAAAACTGCCCTCCACTTATCGTGTTAACAAGGAAAGTGCACAGCGACGGCATCGGCGACGGCATCAGCGACGACAGACGCAGGTGATGGCAATATGTACAGACACATCTGTGTCTGTACATAAAAATAATGGGAATGGAGAAATTATATCATAAGGGAGCACTGCCTACTCAATAGTATACTGTGAGTAATGCACACTTACCCTAAACAAGCCTCCATGTCATTCTTCATTTTCTCTTCATATGCATAAAACTCATCTTGTAGAGACCTGAGATTACAAAAATCATTTAAAACACAAGCAATTTCTAATTGTCTTTTTGTGAAGTTAGATATTTTCTTTTGTTTTGCCAAAGTAAATATCTTAATTCCCTTACAGCATTGAAAATTGGTATTAAATTTCTGATATATATATATTTTGTATATAAAATATATATTAGCTGAATGAATTATTATTATTATTATTATTATTATTATTATTATTATTATTATTATTATTATTATTATTATTATTATTAAATATTAGAAATATACAATGTTCATATCTGGCCTAATGGAAAAGACCAAATGACTTCGCCAGAAACCACATTATGTCAAGTATACCAGTATCTATCAGAACAGTAAGTGATCTCAAACAGTCTCCTTCCTGTTAAAATCATGTTCGATGAGAATACAACAAAGTCCTAAAATGTTTTAAAGCCTCACTTTATCCTCTGCTGCAAGAAGCTCACATTCTCCTCCATCTGCTGTCTCTTTGCTTTGATTTGGTCATGAAATGCCTGGGTAGCTGCCCCCTTCAAACCCTGCATGCTATCTGTGTATGGACCATCAGCCTGTTAAAGATGAATATCTACCTCAATTATATCACAGCATTAGCAACATGACATGGTCAAAACTTTAAAGGAACTGAACTTTCCATCGCGAACACACCTCTATGAAAAACAGCATGTTTAAGTTCTTGCTTTTACTTTTTTGCTACCACTGAAATATTAGTCACATGACTAAAATATGATAAAACCTGGCATTTTTAAAAATGAAAATTAGCAAACTCATACTGTCTACGGCTGTCCAGTATTTTCTTGAATCTACACTTTATCTATTACCTCTATCCTAGGTGGATTTCTGACACTGATATTGTCCAGCACCATGACTTGTGAGGCATCAAGTATAGCAGCCTGATACAGGTTCTCCCTTTCAATTGGATTGCCCTGTAACATCATAATATGGGATTTTACAATAGGCAAAGGAATTTAGGAAAGGAATACAGGAATATATGCACACAAAAAATGACTATATAACTTAAACAATAACAATCCAATTGGGCTGGAATTCAAACTAGCATTTTAGTCCTACAAATCTTTAAGAAGAATACCTTGTCACATTGTGTCTGCCCATAGGCAGTACACTGTAGTTATGTAAAATGAGAAATGTATTAGGGTGTAGTAAACAAAATTAAATATATAGGGCATTATCTAAGTGATGCACCAACCCATCAGTATAGCTGAGGTATATTTGCATGCTGACTTGGTAAAATCACAACTGGCATCTTGCATGGGCAGACTTCATATCTAGACTGCGTGACATGCAGTATATATGCATAAAGATATGTTCATCCCAAGCTGACTACTGTAACAGCTAGGCATAGACAGCCTTTACATTCAAACGTCATACCAGCTGGATCGATCCAATTATGCGGAGGATTTTGGATAAAGTGCATTCAGTGTACTCAGCTTAACTGTCTAACATGTCTCCCTGAGTAGCTAGTTAACTACATTATCTGCTAGCAACTATAGGATGCATGTCAGACACTTAAACTAATTACATTGACTGCACTTGGGGAAAATCACCCTTAGGCTCTATTCCCATAGATTTTAGATCGATCAATCTATCCCCGCGGGGAGTCTCACTAGATTACTTTCAGATAATCCGACTTAAATGTCCGTCCTGCCTACTACAAGCTGTAAGGATGTAATTAACTTTCGTGTCCGCCCGGCTGACAGCTATTTAGCATGAACCCCCAGGGAGTTAGGTCGATCTAAAGTAGGTCGATCTAATCTATGGAAATGGGGTGTTAGAGTTGGATCCAGCTAGTAAGAAGGGTTTATCTGAACGCTCCCAAATAGTGTACGTGACTTACATGTAAAGTTATAGACTGTAACTTGTGCAGATGTCTCAGCACCTCCCCCGTGGTCTGCAGGGCAGAGATATGGTTGTCTGCAGCATTCAGGATAATCAGGTTTCTGGAGCTCAACAATGGAACAAGATCAACCTGAAAAGGGAAAAGCTTTCCTCATTCAGATTTATAACAACATGATATTAAGGCATTTGTATCAGAACTACCAGTGACTTAGTATTTGTATCAGAACTACCAGTGACTTAGAACAGGAACTGACATTAGGAAATATTTACATGATATAGTGACAACAATGTTTCAAGCATGAGATCAAAACTTTAACCTTTTAGACTCACTCCAAGCAGAAGACAGTTAAATAACTTTCTCAAAATAAATAAATAAATATTAATAATAATAAAAATATAAAAAACAACAGTAGTAATCAATTGGAAATAAAATTATAATACTAATAAAAATCTTACTATTAGTGCCTCACATAAATGCATTTAACATTTTTAAAAGAACCTTTTACTTAAGGATCAATATGCAGAAAAAAAACAACTAAATTTACTATCAAATCACAATCATATCATAAACATTTACTTTCATTAAGAAACCAGATAGGAATTACAGAATACACCACCATGACAAGAACTATGTCTTACAATTTGATTCCTCTGTACATATAGCTCTCTTAGCCTAGCCAAGCCTTGTACTCCATCCAAAGACTTGAGCTGAAAAGAAATCAATTATAACATTGTTTTCATTTTCTATTTCTCATTAAAGGTATGAATTATTTGAAAATTAATTTATAACTTGAAACATCTCAACTTTCAGTTGCTTTTAGCTGATGTAGAAATATCTGTAAACTGTACATCCAAAACCTTGCGAACTTTGTGGATTTAGAAATTTAATTCAACTGAATCTTATTCTGTATCATATGTCTTTTTTTTGTTTGTTTGTTGGTTTGTTTTTTTTTTTTTTTTGTTTCAAATACAATAATATCAATACATGAGATACTAAATATGAAAAACATAATTATACTTTAAGCATGCCTCTATGAAAATCAAATTACACGAGTCACACATGCAACATATACTATACCACAGAGAGACAGACATACAAATTGAAGTATTAAAACCAGGGGAATATGTGCTCTTACTCTAACATATTAGTCTACAACTGATGATTATTTGTCTGGAAGATCACACACAAATGTTTTGCCATTTGTTGAGTCTGAATCTCCAGGTCCACTTTTTAAATCAGCTTTTAACATAATACATTGTCTGATAAATCAACAAAAAAGATATCTGATTTGCAAAAAGTAATAAATGTACATCTGCTGCAATCTGCATTTTAGATTTCTTTCACCATATTATCAAGGAGTTATAACTGTTATAACTCCTTGATATTATGTAAGAGAATGATTTTGTTGAGGCTATTAATTCAATATAATAGTAACAATAGTAATCTGATTTCTACCTTGGTGACAGAAATAACACAGTCCCAGAAAATGAGAATTAAAATCAAAGTGACACTGTGCAAATGTAGCTTCACCATGAATACAAATGAGGTGCTTTTTGAGATACATGTATACATCTTTATAAGAATTCAGGCTACTGCTTTTTGCAAATGTTCTTGCAACACACACATACTTATGATTTAAGCCAGTGAAGAAATACATTTGATGAAAAAATAACCAATTTAAAGGTATATGTTATTTTCAAGATGTTATATTCACCATTAAAATTACCACAAGACAATTTCATCACAAAGGTAAAACAACGAGTCTACAAATATATATATAAATTCATGCCCACATGCCACATTTCTTTTAAGGTACTAATCAAAATATTTATCCTCATTACTAGATTGAAAAATACACTTTACTACCAAAATATATAAATTACACAGATTAGACCACATGCTACACAGTAAAAATAAACTTTAATATTTTCTTGATTTAATCAGGGGCACGAGTCAGAGGCAGCCATGCATACAGATTACTGGATAATAAATGGGCAGTGCTAAGTTCTACGGTATGCTCAGTCTGCTGTCACATGCAAGACTGATGAAAGACTTGATTGCATACATGTACATAGACAGTAGGAGATAACAGCTGGCATGACTGTATCACAGGTGAAAAGGTTTTAGTGGCACAGAGAACAGAGAACACAAAATGATCATTTGGAAAAGGTATTGTGATATCATTTTACTCTTTTTAACTAGCGTTACCTTGATTAGCTGTTTTAGTTGTTTTCCTGGTTGGCTAAAAACATTTACATTTTGATTTAATGTTATATTAGATAAGGTTTGTACAGTGTACTCTTAGTACTGGCATGGAACTTGATGCACAGAACTAGGATCCAAGATCCATCTTGGATCCTAGCATATAAGAATCTTTCAGTGAACCTTAAACAAACCTTCAGAAATTAAAAAAAAAGGAACAATCAGCAACAATCAAATATTAACAATTTTATAGACTATTATTAAGACCCCCAAAAGTCCAAATTTGATGATAAAGATATGAAGCTGATTAATGGACCAAGTTCCTTAACTGAAAATAAGACCCTGTAAAAAAACTGTAATTTGGAGAAATTGGTCAATAAAATAGTCTATTGGCACACTGTATATGCACAGCCTTTGGTACTTACATATATTCATGATGCTTCAAAAGTTAGTAAGAAGAATAGGGGACCATATTTGTTCAATATTTAAGATAGTTCTGTTTTTTATAGTCACAATATGACTTAAATAAGGCATTTTCAATGAAGTACATTTCATCTGTCAAATAAATAAATATCAAAAACAGAAAATAAAAAACACCAAAATTCCAGATTATGTATTAAGGCTGCAATTGACATAGACCACAATAAATTAGTGGTCGCACCATCAAAATTAATAAAAAAAAAAAAAAGAGAAGTTTAAATCGTACCTTACATTAAACATTAAAGCAAGAGTAGTCTAGCAAAAAATGCCATTCCAATCCACTTCAACTATTATTCATCCTAGTAAACCTCTTCTGCTTTTAAAACTGACAGAATATCAATAATACATTATACAATATATCACTGTACCTAAGTCTATAAACTTCACTGAATCAATTCCTAATTACTTTTCTTAATTGACACAAGGTCTCTAAGGGGAGTTCAAAGTCATTAAGAACAAAGGCACTTCAGAAGCACACTGTTGCTATACACAACTTACAATCCCAATGCATTCTCAACTGGATCTTCAATTAAATAATTAAATAATTCATGTCTTTTATAGCATTCCTTAGTCACTGTAGCTAATTAACAAAACCCCTCAATATTCATTTCTTATTTTCATTTACTTTACTTACAGGATAGTTATTAATGTTAATATATGGTAATTAAAATACCAATTTATTATAATGGATATACTTCAGTCTTTTAAATATGTTGAACTTAATTTCTTTATATCATTTGATTTATTTCTTTAAAATAAAATTGAATATCTTATGAAGTACATCTTTCTAAAATAGGCCTAAACATGAGACATCTAGAGCCCATTAAAAAGCAACTCACAAGTAAAGCACTGTTACACTATAAGGGTATCACCATATTTCATGTTGCTAGCGAGTCACTATAAACATACATGTACACGCAATGTTCAATTTGCCACTGAAGCAGATATCTGAACAATGGGATAGTGTATTCTTTAATTTGACTTTTATTGTCCTAATGATGCTAGATAAACAATAAAACTGAGCCTGTAATAGTCTTCTGACAAAAATGACCACTAGTCCATTTCTTCCTACTTGACCATTCAAAATCACCTAATATGTAAAAAATGAGTTGAGAAACATAATTCACTGTCAAGGCATGAAAAATTATTTAGCAAAATAGTTTTTACAAAGACATTTTTTTCACATTTACTGGCTGCTTTCTGCAGCAGTCACTATCCAACCACATGTCTGAAATATGCTACTTTTTTTTTACTTTTTTTGCCTACCTTTTAAAGACACATGAATAATGTGGAGAAAATAGAAACAGGTTTTCCTGACTTGCCTGAAAACACAACTTAAACCTGTTTATATTTTCTCCACATTATTCATGTTGTCATGATAAAAAATATGCAGTAGAAATATGAACTTTTTGTAAGGTTCAAGGTGAACTTGTTAAAGATAGCACAACTTGTCTTGAATTTCAGACTTTACAAACTATTTTTTAAAGACCTTGTTATCATTTATGACATTTGTAAACTCTCATTTAAGTCAGATATGTTTATAAAAGGATTTTAGTAAATAAACAGAATTAAGACACTGAATGTAATTCTCTTGTATAAATTATTGGGATTAATTTACATTCTATAGGGAAAACAAATGTGAATTTTAACACCATTTCATAACAAGGAAATAAAGAAAGGCGCCTTCTTTAAGATAAGATGTTTCAAAGATATTGACATCAATTGAAATATTAAATTTGCCTTTAGTAACTTGAATATTAAGGATAAAGTAAATTTAAATTTCAATATAAAGGTAAAATGTATGTCTTTTCTTTGGTTTCAGATATCCAAAACATATGCATACCAGACGACAGGAATAGAAAAAATCCAGTGTCATCAAGCTGCTGTAATCTCTGTGTATGTGGACATTTGAATTTCTTCACAGCAGACAATGAGATCTAATATATAAATCTGCTTCGAGGCACAGAAAGGACTTCTTATCAGCTGAGGCATCTATACATGACACCTTCATTACTTGAGAGATGTCATTAAACTTGCTGGGGACAAACTTAAATGCATGCCTTGAGTTACATTTACAATTTGCACCAAGAAAATTGTAGCTAAATTTTAATAGTACATTCTTCTGGTTACAAACTCAACAGCTATATCTGCAAAACTGTGCAAATGACATTGGCAGAAAGAAAACAAGTCCCCGGCTCTCTTGTCATTTGGATATCAAACTATCAGGACAGCATCTTGCAGATGATCATACAAAAAAATGTCTGAATTTCATCAAGCTCTTTAGCTCTTTAGATGTATACCGAAAAAACAGATCAAAACTGAAGCCAGCTTCAATGACCATGATGTCTCATCCATGATAAGACGGCTTAATGTCTTTTCTCTGTATCTAGTCCACCAGCTGTGACTCAAGCAGGCATTTGTTGAAGGAAAGATAATGTATGCTGGCTAGGAAAATTATTCACGAACCGGAGATCTTTAATGAAAGGTGTCAGACAGAGTGGACATTGTGGGCCAGTGAGAGGACAAAGGCAGTAAGGGATTAAGTAACAACAGTCATTTTTCAGCAACACTGATATTCATCTTGACCCAGCCTTCATGACATGTATCACTAATTATCAAAGCCTCATGCCATGAAAAGGAAAGAAAAAGACTTAATGGGATTACAAAGGGATCGTAATAATTTAAGTGTGGTGTTTTAATTCCTGTTAATATACATATTTAAGACTACTGAATGGACAATTAAGGAAGATAAAGGGTCCTACAAAACAGGAAAACACAGCATAAGTGACTAACAACACAAGCACAGGTGACCTGCAACAGTTTCAACTACCTGTGTTATAATACAGCATTTAATGGAGAGGAAGGGGGTATGATTTCTGAAACTGATGCCTCAGGACATCAGCCAAGACTGACAGGTGAAAATAAGCATATGACAACAGAATAATTGTCCAATACACAAGGGATTATATAAACTAGCTTTGAAGACACAGTTAAGTTACACCTGAGGGGACATGCTAAGTGAGCC